TTTCCTTCCCAAGAGTCCCCTTAAGGTAGACCTGATTGCCAGTGTGTGCCTAAGTCACACAGCTGTGTGGCGGCCAAGTGGGAAGGGAGGCCCCCTCCTGAGATGGTTTCCCTGGATGTCTCACAACCTCACAACCCTAGGGCCTGCCTCTAGCCCCTTCGCACAGCACTGCAAGTGCACGAGCCCAGCACCCTACTCTGTGGTTCCAGGCTGGCCAGTGGGCAGGTGGGCAGGCTCCACCCTGCCCATCAACTTATCTGTAGAGAGCAGGGGCTGGGTCAAACTGCCAGCAGCCAGAGACTGACAAGTCACTTGTGGTTAGGTCCAGCTGCCTCTAGCTTTCCTGGAGCAGATGTTTCCTTATTTTCTAAATGTGGAACAGAGAGTGGGGAACCACCCAGTCACTGGTAGAGAAGAAAGCTCCCTCCTTCCTGATGAGCAGCCATAAACCAAAGGTTATGCTCCCATTACAGTTCTAGAACCCTGCAAGCTTTCCCTCTTCAATGCACAGCAGGCTTAAATTGGGAGTGCTCCACTTTGAATCATGTCAATTCCTGCCTCCAAACCCCAACTACTGCTTTAAGAAATATATTTTAAGTGGTGGCTCACTATACACATACCAAAAGAAAATTGTACAAAAACGTGACCTTAAAATACTGGCTGCAACCTTCCATGTTGATTTTTGTCCTGCTAGTAACTTGCTACCAGCTGTTTAAAAAACATGGTTGTTAACTCTCTTTATACATATGGGACACTCGATGTTTTACCCATCTGTTGCATTAAACCCCAATTTTCTCTTGTCATTTTGCAAGCATCAATGGCATCACCTAACTGACATTTTTTACATAGGCACAGTTCCTGCTCTTTACAGAAAACTTGGGAGTGTAAAGTCCCTCTCTCAGCCCTCACCCCTCCCAAAGACAAACTTTGTAATTTTTCAACCCAGACCTGTAGGCACACTTCAGGATTGGAGGAACTGCATTTTTCTGTATTGGGAATTCCACCAGCATTGAGCCTTGCTTATCTGGCATCGGGGTCTCAAGTTTTCCAGAAAACCTAAGCTTTAAGTTTTTAAGAACTAACACTTCTTTTCAACTCAGCCATTTTGAAAGCAACTTTTTAAAAAATAGTCTGATTGAGATATTCACATATCAAAAAGTTCACCCTTCAGTGGTTTTAGTATGTTCCTCTAATACCAGAACATTTTTCTTTCTGAGGTGTATACCCACCACACTTCACTCCCTACCTGGGAGACCTTGGACAAATAACCCATGCCCTGGGGTTTCCGCGTCTGTACCATGGGGCGCCCAGGCCCCAGGTTGTGCTAAGGTCGCGCGGAGGCCAGGACACAGCGGCCAGGTCTCGTCAAGTGCACAGCCGGGTCACGTGCATGGCCCCTTCCCCTAGGCAGCGGCCCCGCGCAGCGCAATGTTACTGTTTCATTACACTGATTAAATTTAAGCTGGAAGTAGCGTGGCATTTTTTCTGTTAAACACACTGTATAGTTTTCCCGGACTGCACTAGCTTGGTGTCTACCCGGAGCCGCGCAGTCCAGCGCAGATCCCACGAGGACACAGAACAAGTGGCCGAAGATATCCAACAACTACCAAGAACGCCGCTCTGTGGCACAACCTGAGAGCCTCTGACGCGCGCATGCGCCTGGGCGCGTCCATGTCTCTTCCCTTCCACCCCCGTCCTTGGGCCGGTGGTTCTGCCGTCTGGGGCGGAGCCGTCGGGGGCGGAGCCTCGTGTGGCGCGAAAATCGGCGCGAAGCGCGCCACCACTTCCGTTCGCAGCAGCGCTCCGGCTGCCGCTTCCATCCTCGGACTCCGCCTCGCCATGGCGCAGTGCCGTGTCACCGACTTCTTTGCGCGCCGCCGTCCCAGACCCCGCGCCGCGTCGTCGTGGGCCAAGCGGACTTGGAGAACCCCGAGCCCTGCCAAGCTGGAGCCCAGCGCCCCGGTCCCCACCAAGGGCGGCAGCCGCAAGCGCGCCCGTCCGTCAGCCGAGCCCGCGCGCGAAGAGCTCACGCGCGACAAGCCCGCGCCACCTGCACGCAGGAAGCTGAGGTTGCCGGCCGACGCGGTGAGGGCGCGGGGTAGTAGGGACCTTGCGGAGGAGAGGGGAAACTGAGGCGGGACGGTGGTCAGGCCGCTTCTGCAGAGACACGCCCCAAACGGGGGCCACAGACCGAGGGCTTGGATGCAGAGGGTAAATCAAGGCCCCAAGTGAGAGTCCTGAACTGTGGCTTGGGAGGAGAGAGTTGGCAGGTCGGTGTCCTATGGCTAGGGTAAGGACTCAGCTTAGAAAGGACTTGAAGTGAGGGAGGAGCTTTGAATAGGGGAGCCTGCGGATCTGACTGACGTGGGAGGGCCAGAGCTGGGAGGGCTGGTAAATGCCAGGCCTGTCTGCAAGGCTAGGTTAAGAGTCAGGCTCGGGTAACCATTCTGAGAAGAACAAACAGATGGGTGGGCCAGGGACCTCCATTAAGGGGGCTGCCCCTCAAGAGGTTGGACTGAGGAAAGCAGAAAATCCTTTTTCTGCAGAGCCAGTGTACTGAAGGGTCTTGTCATTTGTTCATTTTTGGGGTCCTTTCCTCCAGGTCTCTGACCCTGCCTCCCCAGCTGCCTCTGGCTCCCCAGAGCACTCTTCTCCCAGCAAGAAGACAAAGAAGGTCATCTCAGCAGGTCAGCTGCCCAACTTGGCACCCCAAGAGGACAAGGTGAGGAAGCTGAACCAAGGGTGGGAGAGGGAGGCATGGGGGTGACTGGCCAACTGACAGCATCCTGTGTCCACAGGTCCCCTCAAAGGCCACCTTCTCTGAGCTCAAGTTGTGCCTCCAACGGGCCCGGGAGCTGGGGGCACGGGTCCAGGAGCTGAGGACAAGTACCCAGAGGAATGATGCTGGGGAATCCAGTACACCGGAGGCCAAGGAGCACCCAGCAGGGCCATGGTGAGTCCTCGGTGGGCGGCCTGGGCGGGGCAGGGCTGAGTAGAGGGCCGGGGCTGCTTCAGGGAGCCAGCGCAGTCGGTAGGGTGCTCAGATTTCAGCACTGCTGCTCATTAGCCCTGCACCCTTCTCCATCTGTAAGAGGGCACCAATTCCTGCCTCAGTGGACCCTTGGAATTTCAAATGACATCGACAGCTAGCGGTTATTGGGTGTTCGCTTCTTCTTGCTGTGTCTGTTCTCCCTAGATCCTGTAGTCATCATGTGCCTCTTAGAAATAATCCAGGGCTGGGGGTGGCCAGGGACCTCCCTCGGTGACTAAGGATGTGGCAGAACTGGGTTTGAAGCTACACTTTTCTGTCTCCATAGCTGATAGTACTTGTGATGTGGAGGTGGGCATACAGGGAATTTGTAAACTGGTATATAGTGTGTGGTGGTGGCAGTTTTGGGGTATCCCTGGCCTTTGGGGTATCCCCACCTTTGGGGTATCCCTGGCCACTTTGCTAGCTGTTAACTGCTGGAGGGGGTGTAGGTCTGGTGCTTTTCTCAAGGCCTGGCTCTCTCTCTGGCAGTGGAGAGAAGGCTCCCGCCTACCAGCGCTTCCATGCCCTGGCCCAGCCAGGGCTCCCTGGCCTCGTGCTGCCCTACAAGTACCAGGTGTTGGCTGAGATGTTCCGCAGCATGGACACCATCGTGGGCATGCTCTACAACCGGTCAGAGACTGTGACCTTCGCCAAGGTCAAGCAGGGTGTCCAAGACATGATGCGCAAGTGAGCAGGGCCCTTGGAGGGTGGGAGCCTTGTCCTGCTGATGGAGGCTGACCTGTGCCCTGCCTGGCTTTCTGACTATGGCACCCTCATTCCATAGGCGCTTTGAGGAGCGCAACGTGGGCCAGATCAAAACTGTATATCCCACCTCCTACCGCTTCCGCCAGGAGCGTAATGTCCCCACCTTCAAGGATGGATTCAAGAAGTCTGATTACCAGCTCACCATTGAGCCACTGTTGGACCAGGGTGAGTGTGCTGTGGTCGAGTCACTCATCTCTGAGCCTCGGTTTCCACATCTGTGGCACTGTGTGGTTTTGAGCATGGGTGCAAGGTATCTGAGACCTGTGTGTGTGGGGCTGGGCAACTGGGTGGGTCTGGTCCAGGAGGCTCAGCCCTAGACTCTTCCCACAGAGATTGGCAACATGGTCCCCCAGCTCACAGCCTCTCGACTCCTGCAGCGGCGGCAGGTCTTCAGCCAGAATTTGGTGGAGCGTGTCCGAGAGCACCACAGGGTGAGCTAGCCAACCCCAAGATCACCAGCTCAGTCTTTGTTGTATGAGGTGTCTCCCCTGTGGTGGGCCCTGAGCTCTGTCCCCTCCTTTAGTGCTTGATCTGTCCTTAGTGTCACAGCCCCATCATACCCAGCAGGAAATGGGCCTTCTCAAGCTGAGTTTTAGAGTTCTGTCAACTACTCAGCGAGGCCGGGCAGTCATCTCACATGGATGGGGTGGGCATGGGCTGGTTGGAGATTCTGGGCAGGTTAGGGATCCTGGCCGTGGATCTCAGCTGAGGGAGGTTCTGCCTTGAATAGAGAAGTGGAGAGCTCAGTACTATAGCCTCGGGCCTTGGGAGGCTTGTGATGACTTCAGTGGGTGCTCTACTCTGCCCTCAACCCAGCTGAGCATCTGGGGGCCCAGAGAGATGAAGTAGCTTGCCTGAGGGTGCCTAGCTGGGATGGAAACCTGGACAGCCCTGCCCCACCTCCAGACAGGTCATCTGGTATCCCCTTTCTTGGACAGGCCTTCCTAGCCTCCCTGAACCCCCCCATGGTGGTGCCTGAGGACCAGCTGACACGCTGGCACCCTCGCTTCAATGTGGATGAAGTGCCTGACATTGAGCCTGCTGAGCTACCCCAGCCACCCACCACAGAGAAGGTGGCCACTGCCCAGGAAGTGCTGGCCCAAGCTCGCAGCCTTATGTCACCTAGGGTGAGGATGGCCCTAGTTTCCCAGGGTGGGGCAGCCTGACTCCTACATGCTCCGCCATGGGCCTCAGGGGTGGTGGGATGTGCCCTCCCCATGTTCAGAGCTCTGCCCATTGGCAGGCTTTGCCCTAGGGTACCCAGCACAGGCCCCTGATGTACGGGAGTGAACTTGGGATGGACACAGGCTCCTGGGCAGGGGGTCCATGCAGATGGGGTATGAAGGGCCTCCCCTGTGACTGGGCCAGGGGAGGCTTCTGACCTCTCCCCTCTGACCTGCGCCAGATGGAGAAGGCCCTGAGTGACCTGGCATTGCGTACAGCCAAGCCCAGCAGCCCTGGGTCCCCTAGCCCTGAACTGCCAGCTACACCCCCGGCCACTCCACCTGCCCCCCTGAAGGGGGTGTCCCAGGACCTGCTGGAGCGGGTGAGTGTTTGGGGTCACTGGGGACGGGGGATAGGCCAGCTTTCCACTGACTGCTCCCCTTACCCAACTCAGATCCGGGCCAAGGAGGCACAGAAGCAGCTGGCACAGATGACACGGCGCCCAGAGCAGGAACAGCGGCTGCAGCGGCTTGAGCGGCTGCCTGAGCTAGCACGGGTGCTACGTAGTATCTTCGTGTCTGAGCGCAAGTTGGCACTCACCATGGAGGTGGCCTGCACCAGGATGGTGGGCAGCTACCACACAGCCATGAGCCCAGGTGCGTGCAGGAACGCCTCCTATGCTGCGGTCACAGATGAGGGTAGGCACCATGAATTTGCACTGTTCCCCACATATGCGTTGAGCACCTGCTGTACCAGGTGGGCAGTGTCCTTGAGGTGACTTCCCAATCCTCCATTTGGCCCCTATACCCCTGTGGCCTTTTGAGGCTATCTCCAGCTTTACAAACCCAGCCTTTGCCCTTGCAGTCCCTCAGAGCTGCAGGACACCTCTGCTGTGTGGTCTTTGAGTGCTGGGACTTGTGACAGGCTCAGTGGGAGGACTACCTCCTTGGGAAGGCTGTGCAGTTACTGCCCTGGTTCCAGTCTTTGTCTTATTATTGTTTACTCCCTTGTTTCTGGGGGCATAGACAGATCCAGCGTAGAGGAAGGGCTGGCACTACAGAAGGCCTGTTGACAGGGTCCTGAGGTGGGAGCAGCATCTCCTTTTATAGTTGTGCACATAGACCGAGAAAGTTTGGGGGAGTCAGGCCCCCCTGCCTCATGTGCCCCTCTCTTTGCAGGGGAGATGGAGAAGCATGTGCAGCTCCTTTCTGAGCTGCTGCCTGACTGGCTCAGCCTCCACCGCATCCGTACTGACACCTATGTTAAGCTGGACAAGGCTGCCGACCTGGCGGTTGTCACTGCACGGCTGGCCTGTCTTGCCCGTGCTGAAGCACTCTGAGCCTGATGCTGCGGACCAACAAATGTCGGCTCAAGGCCCCAGCCTGGTCCACTGTGCCTGTTTTATTCCTTTATGAATATGATGCACTTTCCTTTTCCTGAGTACCCATGAGGGCCAGAGGCTGGGCTGGGTTCTGGCTGCATGGCCTGGGGGACTCTGGCTAGTGTGGGTGGTATGCCCACCTTGTACAGTGTATTATCATTAAACTGCTTTCTCTTGGCTTTGTCTTTGCTGCACTGGGGGTACAGGAATGTGGGGTGTGTGTGTGGGAGCATAGCTTTGCTGTCACAGGTTTGAACTGGCAAAATAACACCCCCTCCTGGGTTACCTGGGTGAGCCCACTGTCATCACAGGGCCCTTATAAGAGGGAGGCAGGAGCAGAGACGAGTGGTACACCACTGGCTTTGAAGATGGAGGGTGGAGCAGTGAGCCAAGGAATGTGGGTAGCTTTTAGAAACTGGGAAAGTTATAGAATGGATTTTCCCTGGAGCCTTTAGAAGGAACCAGCCCTGTCTATAACATGATTTTTTAAATTTGTCCTCTATGGATTCAACTGCCCAATCAAAACTTCAAAGGAAAAAAAGTTGCTGATGTGTACTATGTAGTTAGGCTTAAGATGGTTGCTCTGTACTGAACATATATGGACCTGTCATTCCCTAAATAATACAGTATAACACCTGTTTACATAGCACTTAACATTGTGTTAGCTAAGTGCATAGGTTATATATACACACTACCAATTATATGAGGGACTTGAGCATCCTATGGTATGGGGGCGGGGTACTGGAATAAATCCCCTCGTGTGGGAGCATAGCTTTGCTGTCACAGGTTGCCCCATGGATACTGAGGGACAATGTACTTCTAATCTCTAAAACTGATAAACTTGTTTTAAGCCACCAAGTTTGCGTCATTTATGACAGCAGCAATGGGAACCCAATTTGGGCAGCACCTGCTTCCTAAATGGTCTGCTCCCCCACCAGAGAACCACAAACTGCTGTAAATGCTTTAAAAGCATGCATGCACACCCAACCATGGGGTCCCCACACCTGCTCCCCACCTCCTGGCCCTGAGGCCCAGATCCCACCTTGAATGACTGAAGAAAACACCATTCTAGCAAAGTTGATTATTCATGTTTTCATTTCTCTGTAAAAGAACTTGAGCAGCCTGGGCTTGGCTTTGCCTTGGGCTATCAGCTTTAGACCTCTGCGCCTCCAGAACCTGCAGGAAGGGTCCCAGGTGCTGGAAAGTCACTCAACCCTAGAAAAGGATTTTAAAAAGTCCAAGTGGGCAGTCAGTGCCCCCTGGCGGCCACTGGAGGTCACTGTAGCAACAGGCTGTACTTTTTCCAGCTGGTGTTGGGAAAGGCGCCTGGGTCACTCATACTGTAAGAGGGAGAAAAAGGGCACGGGCCCCAGCTTCTCCCTGCCCTTCAGCGAGGTCAGCTCCACCACGCTCACGCATTCCAGCACCTCTGCATGCAGCTGGTCCAGCAGCTTACAGGCTGCGCACATGGTTCCTGGGGGTGGTAGTGGGAGGAGCAGAGTGAGACCCTCATGCAGCCTGGGCCACTCAGAGGTTGGGGGCAAAAAGAGTTGGCATTGCAACCAGGCTCCCATCTGGTACACAGGGTAAACTAGTGTTGAGGCACTAATTCACTTCTCACGTACATGGCGAGGTACTTTCTTCCACCCCCATCAACTCCCTGGTGCCAGGCCCTCTTCATTCAGGGGAGACTCTCACCACCAGTAGCCAGCAGATCGTCCACGATGACCACCTTCTGCCCTGGCTCCAGGGCATCTCTCTGGATTTCCAACTCAGCCTGTGGATGAGAAACAGGCATGTGGTCCAAATCTCTCTGGGAAGGGCCTTGGTGTGTGGAGCCTGGGAGCTGACATAGGGCTACCACCTGGGTCCTGGCTTCAACCCACCCCGCTGTTTACCAGCTGTGTGAGCCTGGCCCAGTGTCTCAGCCTCTCTGAGCTCTCGTGTTCACTCCAATCATGGCAGCTCTACTTGACTTCACAACTCTCCCTTTAGGAACGGAGGGTCCATGGCAGCAGCCCTCAGCCCTCTCACCTTCCCGTATTCCAGTGCGTAGGAGGTAGACACGGTGGGGCCCGGCAGCTTCCCTTGCTTTCGGATGAGCAGGAAGCCCAAGCCAAGCTCCTGGGCTAGGGAGGGGCCAAACAGAAAGCCTCGAGAGTCTAGGCCTGTTGGTGAGAGCTGGGATGTTTCTGGGGCAGTTGTGTGGTAGCATAGCATGGGGGTACCCACAGGCCAGGGCTGGACAATGACAAGGAGTCACCACAGTGACCTAGGGTGCCTAGCCTTGTTGGCACCAGCTAAAAGGCCAATGATACCCATTCATTTAGGGAATGTAGACTGAGCACCTATGACTGTTGGGTGGCTAGGCGCTGGAGTCAGGGACTAGGGCCATCCTACAAGGCTAAGTAGCCAGATGGCTAGCCAGATGGCCTCGGGGAAGTCACTTAACCTCTTTCTAAGGCTCAGCTATGGTCTCTAACTGGGCTGGTAGTAATGACACACATTCAGCAGACAACTCTTGTCATCTTTAAAGGCGGTGTCTACACCCCAGGAGCTAGTGATTGGCTCTCTCTTGCAGTGTTCCATGAGAAGTGTGGTAAGGGAGGGCTTCCAGATTCCGCAGGACACACCAAATTGAAGAGGAGGAACGGTAGTGCTGTGCCCTCAAGGCGGCTAGGAGCCATGGGAGAGTCAGGGAGTGGAGCTCTCACTTAGAGACACAACCCTCAGGGAACTCCAGGATCTCTTATCTGCCTTCAGGAAGACTCAAACTAGGTCAAAGTCCTGGCACACAGCAGGAGCTCAATACACACTTGTAGAAGGGGAACAAGAAAACGTGCCTGGCCTAGGGGAGTCTGTTCTCAGCCCCAAGACCCACAGTTGGTACCCACTCAGCAGAGGCAGTTCCCCAGGCAGCTGGAGAGGCCTGCTGCTGCTCAGGGATGCAAAGTATGGGGCAGTGGGCCTATCCTTACAGCCCACGCGAGAGTTATCACCCAAGCACCACGCTGGCAGGTTCCCTGAAGGACCCTCCGACCAAAGCCCTCTCTCAAGGAGAGGTGAGATCGTTCCTCCCTCCATCGTCTGTCTGGCTCAGGTGAAAGGAACCCCCACCTTCTGGGGTCTGGCCCAAATCCAGTGAACCCTCCCTCCACTTCGCGGCTTCCTAGGCAAGGACGTGGGGGCAGGAAGCGCTAGCCCTGGAGATCCTGAGGGGCCAGGGCCCCCTTGCCCCGGTCCCTCCACTTGCCCGCGATGTAGTCGATCTTGCCGCCATGGGTCTTCTTCAGGTGGTTCGCCAGGAGATTGATAGAGGCGCGGAAGGAGTCGGGATCCTTTAGGAGGGGCGAGATGTCCCTGACGCGCAAGGACAGGGCTGGTGACCAGGAGGTCGGGTCTCCACGTGGGGGCGGCAATCCCCTGGGGCAGAGCCCCCGGGTACCCCGACAGCCCCAGCCTACCGGCGGGACAACGGCCTGGGCCGGCGGGAACCCAACGCTCAACGGGGCCCTCTGGTTGCCCAGCCCCACGCGGCCTCCCCGCACCTGAATAACACGCCCGGGATGGGGAAATCCGGAAAAGCGCGGATGCGCCGCGCTACGAGCTGCAGCTCCGGGTCCGCCATTGCCGAGACCGCGCGTGTCCAGAGCGGCCGGGAGGGCTCGGCGGCTGCGCGCCTGCGCGGGGACCCGGCCGCGCGTGAGGGATGGGACGTCTGCGAGGCGGGGACCTCGGGCGCGGCGCTAGGGGCGGGGCCTGCCGCTCCTTGTAGGAAGTTCCGTATTTCATCGAATTTTAGGTACTATTGACTTTGAGACGCTTGCTCATTTCTTGTACCCGGAACAGACGCATCCCTTCCTCAGGGACGTTCGCGCAGGGCCGAGGTGCGAGTTAAGGTTGATGGAATATGGCGTCTACGCAGCCTTGCCGGGCTTTCAGGGAAATCCCCTCCCGGTTTCGGCCACCCGACCCAGCAGGTCCTTGGGGCAGCGTCGGCAGGGAACCCTAGGGACAACTTCTCTAAAACAATCTCATTAAAAAAAAAAAAAAGCTAAAATGCCCGTTACTTTATTCTAAATCTTTTCTTCATAATTTACCAATCGTATAGCAATACAGCTTTGGCAAGACAATCACTGCAGATGTGAAAACCCCAATCAATGGAAGGAGCTCCTCGTGCCTTCACGGAGAGGATCTTGGGGTCCGCGTTTGGTTGTTTAGGCTTTTCTGATTTGGGCCAGTGAAAGGGCTCATCCTCATTCTTTGCCACACCACATGCCAGGAGGAGGAGGGCAGGCAGGATGGCTGTAAGGTGCAGTCACACCTCATTGTGTGCTGGGGTTAGGGGTCTAGATCCCTAAAAGATGGAAAATCGAGGGCGCTGACATCTTTATGTCCCCAGGAAAGCAGTGGCATCAACTGTCCCCGTTGGGCCAGGGAGGCCTTGGCTGTCGAGGATCCCTCTGCCTCCTCCCCCTGCACATGGGGTGGTACAGGGAGGTGGTGCTGGGATGGCCCTTCTGTGCAGCACCAGGGGCTCAACACAGGATTGGCTCAGCCTCCTTCACACTGGGGCTGAAGTGCTTGAGGGGACAGGTGGGCACGGCTGTGGGTCCTGGGATGGAGGCCAGGCCCCAGACAAGGCCAGCCTGGAGGTGATAGTTGCTGAGTGGGAAGACGGGTAGGAGTACTGAGATCTGCTGGCAGCAGTTGACAGCCTCACGGTCAAGGCAGCAGGGTCAGGCGGCCTAGGAGGAAGGCTGAGGAGTGACTCCAGGGCCAGGTAGTGTAGCCATGCAGGTCCTGCTGCTGGCTGCAGCTGACATCCTCTGGTGGTAGGCAGGGCAGAGGGCAGGTGGGGCTTTTCCAGTGTGGGGGCCAAGGCCAGACCCTACCCCCAGACACTTGCAGGGCCAGTGGGAGGTCCCGGGCCTGGCCTGAACCTGAGCAGGTGCTAGTGGGGCCAGGAGCACTTCTTGGGGACAGACTCTGGGGGTGTCAGGCACTTCCCCAACTTTTCACAGCCTGGAGGTGTCCAGTTCTAGGAAATGAAAATTCAGAAAGAACACGCAATTATTCCAAGCACTTCTGGACTTAGCAGTTTCTACACTCCTGCCTTACCCAGGCCATGACCTAGCCCATCCAACTGGCTGCAGTGTGGAAGCTGCCACTGTCTCTACTGTAGCCCAGGTGAGGTCAGCATGGGAAACACCCAAGGCCAGTAAGGGGCAAGACGGTAAGGTCTTAGGGTGTAGGTGGCCACAGAGTGGGGCCCGTGCCTGACCCGTTATGCAAGGGGACCGTCTGCTAACTGCCCCAACCCCCTGGCCTTGTTCCAAGTAGAGGAAATGCTAAGGCCTGCATATACCCCGCTGTGATAGAGAAGGAGCTCCACGGTCCAGAAAAGCTGACTGACTGAGATGCTTCATACAACTCCTCACGATTTCCCACGGAAAGCTCTTTAATTGTTAGGAGCCCTTTCTCCAGAGGAGAAACAGCTTATTTCAATGCAGCCCTTGCCTAGCTGTGCGCATTAATGTGGAGCCTCACTTTATGTGGCCATACTTGCCCTGGATATAGAAAGGGAGACACATGCCCCTAAGAAGGAGCCTTCCTGGTTTGCCGTGTGCCCCCAGTGCCCAGGGGTGTTCTTGTGCCACAATCAGGAGACTCAGAATCACTCTGGGGGCACACCTCAGAGACTGCATTACTTAATTGGAGCATCGATGGTAAGGAAAGCCCTCTCCTGCACCGGCATCTTGTGGCCCCTGTGGTCACGTGGGCCCTGGATGCCCAACTGAGAGCTGCTGGCCACCTGGGTGAGGCCAGGTTTGGATAAGGAAGCTATTCCCAAGCTTTGAGGCAGACTGGAGAGAGCCCCATGTCTATGTCCTTGCAGAACAGATTCTAGGCCCAGGCTGAGAGTCGGGTTTCGGGGAGGGCCAGCATCAGGTGTCTGATACTCAACACAATAGTCAACTACTGTTCAAGGTTTATGACAGGCTGAACGGGACTGGTTTTTTTATCAGAGAGACCAAAGGACACCACACTGAGTCCTCGCCTCAGCTGGCCTGGATGTGTAGGGGCCAGGGGCTAGGGCTGAGCTGGGTGGCCTAGAAGTGCAGGGGACCCAGGGCTGAGTTAAGGGTGGAAGTGTGGGGAGTCCAGAACCGTGCTGGGGGTAGGCTGGAAGTGAGGGAGCCAGGGCTGAGCTTAGGGGGTGTGTGTGACAGAGGGCTGAGAGTGGAAACTTCCCTCCATCTGGGGGCCAGGGGTGTGGAGAGGATGAATGGGGGGCCCCTCAGGCTTTGTACGCACTCATACACACCCACACATGTTCACACACATATAAATCCATACACTTCTCCCGCTTGTCTTCAGTTCACTTTCAGTGTTTGCAGAGTCCCCCACTTTCGTTCCAGGGGCAGCCAGGCTTCCGCTATTCCCACGGTGCCCAGGAGATGGCAGCAGCACTCTGGCCAGGTTGGCCACCTCCCGTCCCCTCCCTGCTGTCACTAAGACCCTCTTCGTCTCCAGGAAGTTGGGACTCTGCCTGCACCCATAAAGCAGCCGCCGGTGGGAGATGAGAAACATTCTGTTGGGGGTGGGAAGAGCACTGCTTTCACAGAAGGAAAAACGAGGCTTGGAGTGGGCACCAGGGGCTCCTCCCCAGGTAGGGTGCTCTCAGACTCCTGGATCCTGAGAGACCTCGGGGTCTCGACCTTGCTCCACTGCTGAGTCCATAGACCGGCATGCCAGAATAGCACTCCTCTAAGGGAAGGGGCAGGCTCTGTTCCCCTACTATCTTCCTGTGGTGAGCTCTGGGAGCGGACAGCAGCGATAAGCCCACACCCACCAGCCCCTGTCCAACTCAGTGTCCTCGGCCACTGCCAAATCATCCATCCTCTAATAATCCTCACCACTAGGAAAATGCTTCTAATATCCTGACTCTGTTTTCCTTGCACAAATTCCCATCATATTCACTCTGCACTCTGACTGCTCACACAATCACTTCCCTCCTGGGGGCACCCTGGGGTCCGTCTGGCCCAGATGCATTCCACATGGGCGACTACAGGGTGTTTAGCTGTCTTCACAATGGCCTAGTGGGTCCAGGGAACGGAGTGCTGGAGTGCTTGGGAGACAGGCTGGGAAGGTGGGCTAAACCATCTGCTTTTGTTCTCTGGGATCTGAGGTGCCACCAGAGCGTCTGACACCAGGACATGTGAATCGCCCATCTTCGTGGAGCAGGGTATCACACAGACACTTCCAGTTGCCAGGTGGGTCACCTACGGGGTTTAAAGAGGTCTGTCCCTGCTGGGACCTGTGTCTGCTGTGCTGAGAGGTGGGCCCCACGGGCTGGCCATACACCCAGGCTATCTGCCCAGGGTGTCTACACCCTACATGGGTTTGGCTTGTCCTGAACCTGCAGAGGGGTCAAGTGACCCCTCACATCTGTGAGATCTGAGACGGAAGCAGGAGGGAAGCGGGGTTCTGGCCTGCGGCCCAGCAGCCTCTGGAACTGTGTTCTCTGCCTTGATCCCACCACACTGCCCCGTGGTCACCCTGAAGGTGAGAGGAGGGTGGTGCTCCTGAGAGGCACATGGCTGCCAGACTCGCTGCAGATCTATGGGGCTTGTGTTGAGGATGCAGGTGAAGCGATGGGGCATGCAGACCCCATAGCACTTGTGGCCCTGGGGATGACCCCAACAGGAAATACACCCTCCTAGTGTTGAAAGCCACGTATAAACCACTAAACCACTTACCATGACTGCCTGGTTGCACACGTTGAGCTGGGGCTGTCCGGGGACCAAGGCCTCCTGGTGCTGCTGAACGACTGGGGTGATCCTGCGAAGGACGTCCAGGTACTCGATGCTGGCAAAGCTAGAGACAAGACAGTACCGGGTCACTGAGGCAGAGAAGGAGAGCAATAAGGTAGGTGCGGGCAGGACATCCAGGTAGGCCACCAGGAAGGGGCCTGGGAACCAGGGGACCCCTCCCTGATGGTGCCACCATCCAGGAGCCTCCTGGAAATAGACAGCTAAAAGAGACCACCTCTGCCTCATTTGTCCTCCCTACAAATAAGGTGACACGCAGAGCGATGGGATGGAGGCAGTGACTGTGATTCTTCAGTCTTACTGTTTCAGGGCCTTGGCAGATGGCCAGACCAAAGGGCACCCCGCACTCCTGGTGTCCCCAGGCTGTACAGATCTTGGCAGCTTCCCAGGGCCCTTGTCCCCATTTTCATGGTCCTTCTTTAATCTCTTTGGTCCAGGTTTGCTTCTATCAGGAATAGCTGGCCCTGCCCTAATTGCCACCTTCTTGGGGTTCATCTGACACTGTCATCCCTACTCCTCAGGCCTCCACACCGGTCCCATGCTCCCTGCTCTGTTGGCTACACTCTATCCACACAGAGCCCCCAAGCTTCTCAAAGCAGGTCTCAGGAGTGTTTTATGTCTTTCCAGAATTCTGTACTCAAATACACTGGAAAGAACTAGCTTAACCAAGTGCAGTGATTGTGAGGACAAGGCTTCTCACACCATGGTGTGAGTGCAGGCGGGAGGCTCCAGGAGGCCCTGCACTCAGCCCTGAACTCCTGTGGGCCAGGCAGCGACTCCCAGGTCTTCTTGGCTAGAGCCATGTCCCCAAAATAACCCTGGTGAGGTCACATCCCAAACTAGATCCCAACTACTTCTTCTGGAGGCCAGGCATGAGGGGCTGTGGGCTTCTGAGGGAGAAGTGGGTGTGGGCAGGTACCCGAGGGGGCCTCTAACTGGGGAAATGACCCTGAATGCCGCAGCACCCCCAAATAGTGATAATGTGGATCTAACGAGGGCACTCTCGGGCGGGTGTGTTCTATACATCTTCACCCTGCAACGCAGACCCCCATGACCTTGAATTTCAGAGGATATCAAGGTGGGGAAGTGGTGCTATCCAGCCACACTCATAGCCATCGAGGGGCAGGGGCAGGATTCACACCAAGCCTGCTCTTCAGCCGGCCTGTTGTATTAACCTTCATGTGGGCATTTGAGTCTGAGAAGCCAAATTATGCGCATTGCCATTTGGTGGGGGTTTTCAGAGGCTCAGCGGCCGTCTCTGTCCTTATGACCCATCTCGAAGGTGCCCAAACCCAGGTGCCCAAGTTTGTTCCAGCTGTGGAGGTGTCAGCGAGATGGGCGAAAGGCCTGGGCGCTGCAGGGGCGGGACTGTGTGGCCTGACCACAGCCTGGCTATGGCACTGGCTCTCCACATTTCTTTCCCAGGGCCCTGGGCCTCTGAGCTGGACAAAGCTCCAGTGAAGGGAGGTGCTGCCAAGGAAGCCCTAAAGCATTTCCCAGCAATGTGGACAGGCCCCATCCAACCCTCACCAGGAGGAACTCATTTACACCTGGCAGATAGGCAGGAGCCCCGGTAGGTCTTCTGGGCTGGTAGTGCTGCCCTCCACATCCTTTTGCTGCCCATCATGGTGGCCTGGTGGCCGTGCAGAGGTTCACATCCACCTCATGCCTGGACCGTCACCCTCCACCTTGGCCATCTCTTAAGGCATCTCAGGGCAGGGGTCATGTCAGTTGCTGGGCCACATGGAGTCGGGGAATGGAGAGACAAACAGAGTGGGGGAGTGTGGAGAAGGGGGCACCCGAAGACAAAAGGCCACAACACACATGCGCCAGATGGGAAAACCACAAACAGGCCCCAGGGCGCCTGGTGGTGGTGGGAGCGGGACGCCCCAAGCATCCCTTCCTGCATTTGTGCATCTCCAGGTGTTCACAGCACACACGGTTCTTCTGGAAAAAATCATGCTGGTGTGTGCTTGTGTTGGCTGGGACTGGCTAACGTTTCCTCAGCAGCTTCAAGGACGCCCTGCGCCCCGCTCACCTGAGGGGATACCTCTCCCCTGGGTCTCGTCCCAGGTGGAAGACCAAGGGCAGCTTTGTGTGCTCTTCCTGCGTGTGGGTGGTGACTCCTGAGACATTCTGCCCGGGGCAGAAATCAATGCCCTGAAATGAGAGGAAGGACAAGTGAACGCTGTCTCTGAACATGTGAGCTCTGGCCGCAAGGCTAGCCAGTCCATCTCGAACGAGTCAGAGCAGTCAAGGCCTGAGCAGGCCTGAGGGTGGGATCCTACATGGTGGAGCCTTCTCACAACCCTGCGCCCAAGAGTTGCTGAGCAGTCATGCCCTGAGTACCATCCCCTAGTTTTTTGGAACCTTTTTCTTGGTTGGGGAGTGAATCTCTAAACTATTTTAGCCCATCTCATATCTTGACTGCCTCTAATTTCTACAGTGAAGTTTTACGCCTTCACTCTATCCACCTCATGGCCAATGGAGTGCATGGTGCTTAACATCCCTTTATTGGTGAGGAGGGACCTTGGTCCTGAAAGCCAGAGAAACACAGACACAGGAATGGCTCACAAATGATCCAGATGCACAAGTTAACAGGGAATCTAAAATGACTACATTTCACATGTTCAGGAAAACAGGATAAAAATGGAGAGTGCAGAAAACGCCAGGCTGCCCTCAGGCTCAGGTGCAGTGCCCACGGCCCCACGTTCGAGCCTGCTCCGGCCTCCTCTGTCCCCTGGCTTCTTTGTTGTGTGGCCTCTGATGCATATCTGGAACGGGCTTCCTATGTCAGTGTGTGGTCTGAGCTCTGTCCAGGTCTGGGGTGGTCCTGAGGCCCAAGGTGACCTCAGGCTAGGGGCTCCCTCAAAGCTGTGGCCTGAAGGCTGCCCCTGTGGCTCCCCGACTCTGGAAAAGGAAAAGCCCTCCACCATCCAGTAGATATTAGGTGAGGCCAGGGTCCCCATCCTGAGGCACTGGTGACCCCAGAGTCACACAAGCAGCTTGGCACCAGTCTCCAACCAATGCAGGGCACTGCTGACAGGTCTGGACAGGCAGCTGTGACCTATGCACAGTAACTGATTGAAAGGCTTTCTGTAGGTATTAGTGCCTAGTTTGACAGGCAAAGCATTTCTAACCCTCGTGTGTCTGTAATGGACAGCTGGTCAGTGGAGCAGTTAATATTCTGTTTTTCAATAAAGTAGGGAAGTTAGGAGCCTGTGAAATTCCATTTATCTGCACTGAGCAGTCGATTCCCAAGTCAGGGGCTGTGGTCTAAGTCACTGAAGGCAGCCAACAGTGGACACATAGGGCTTCCAAAGGGGGTGACCCTTTGACCTTCTGGGAGCAGAACTGCTAGAGAACAAATATGGATTTAATAGTGGGAGAAACCACCACATTTAGCATAAAAATGTTAAGCGGTTAATGGAGAAATATCTAAGTCTAGACAGAAGACAGAAATTATAATTTGGATGCAAATCAAATAAGCTATTTAATTAAGATCCTGCTAATTAGTACAAGATTTTTCTCTTACAACTGTTGTCATGTGAGAGAGGTCTCACCCTGGGAGCATCGCAGCTGAGCTGGCCCCCCTACATGCACCTTTCCTCCTCCCCTCCGCCCTGGACCGGGAGCAGGTGCACCTGCAGGTCACAGTGCCGGCTTTTTGGAGGGTGGGAAGGGAGGAGGGGGATGAGCATGTACTGTAGCTAATGCCCCTGGGATTAAGTCCAGAAATGCAGAAGGCCACATGGACACATGTACCTCCTCTCGCCCATGGCCTCAAGCTGCCCCCATGGTGGGAGGTCATGTGTGGGACAGTGGCACCAGGTCCGGCAGGGAAAGATACTCACTCTCTCCTCCTCCTCTGCCATCCAGCAATCGTGAGTAGGGAGAAAACCTGGGGCTCGGGCAGGTGGGCCACACACATTAGGACCTCAGGACTGGGGAGGAGGTATGAGACACCCCAGGACAAGTGTACAGCCAGGAAGCTAATAGGGTCTACTCAGGTGACCCTCAAACCTGGAGATCACAGACTGGCATACCCCCAGCTAAGTCGTACCCCAGGCTTCTCCCTTAGCTGGGCCCCATGTGGCCTCTGAACAAAGCTAATATCCCTAATACGTTAACCATCTAGAAGGGACTGGTGGTCATTCGACGTTTCCCCTTGTGCTCAGGTGAGCTGCTGATGGTCACAGGGTCCTTTCCGACTTCACGTGCCCCCTCAGCTTTATTGATCCCTGGAGGGAGAAGGGCCATCCAAACGGCACTGCAGCTGTCCCCTTGGTGTTTAAATAAAACTGTGACTGCACTGTGATACAGTGAACCCACAGCCCGATTCTGTGTCCACCAGCCACCCACCCAGGGAGGGCCTCTTCTAATGTCTACACACATTGGACAAGGGAGCTTTTTGTGCTTCACCTCCCAAGAAGACAGAAGCCATGCAGACCAAACTGACCCAGGTGTTCTCACAAACAACCCTTAGAAAATGGAAGAAGTGCATCCCACTGAGCACTGTGGGCAGGGGGCTAAGGGAGTGGGGGAAGGTGTCACCCAGCTGTTCTGGGTGGCCTCTCCTGATGCATCCTAACCCCACTGTAAACATGGTCAGGTCAGGACAGGCTATGCAGGTACTGAACTTTTTCGGTATCCTTTCTAGAAAAGCTCTCCCAGCCCTTCTGAGTTCTGGGCTGTCTCACTCGGGTAGGGACTGACTGGACTGTGCCCCAAAGGCCCTGAGAACTCACAGGGCAGGGAGCCACAGAAAGGCCCAAGGGGCCGCTCCCAGAACACCAGCCATAGCTGCCAGCTGGGCCACCTGGACTCTCGAGCAGCCAACAATGGGGACCCTAGAGGCCGGTTGGGGGATTCCCCGTGTGTGATGGGGGCAGAGAGGGAGAAGTGAGGCCACATGGCTGTGCCCCAGGGTCCCCACGCTGCCAGCCTCTGGGCCCCTTTTGGATGCTCCTATAGCTTCTCAGCCCCTGGACAACTAAAGGGGCAAGCCAGGCGTGGCCCTGCTTGTCAGGGGATGGGGAGACCAGAGACAAGTACGCAGGCCAGGGGACACGGTTCTTCTGTGCCGCTCAGAGACAGTTCTGGTCGGGGGCCGTTGTCACAGTCTGAGGGGCCCACAAGACATTCTGGACCTCAGAGGGCAAAAGAGAAGCAAAGGCTCGCTTGGTTCAGCTAAGCCCGCCTGATGCCAATCAGTGCTTCCGACCACAAGTCAGGGACATTCGTGGGCATTGGGCCACTTGGAGGAAGCATACATTGTCCTCTGCTCTGCCCGAGTGCCCGGGGCATCCGGTCTGGGTACTGCACAGGTAGTGCCTGGCCGTGTTACCCACCCAGCCCGGGACCAGACCTGTGACCCACTAAGTCTGCAATCTGCATCCAAAGTGGTGCAGAGTGTTCCAGTACTTAGATTTTTCATTAACTTAAATTGCTTTTCCTCCCAATTAAGGCACATTAGCAGGTTTTTCTTGTGCCTAAAGACCTAGATGGTGAGATAAGTGGGGGCTGAGAGACGTGGGTGGGGGACTTAGGAAGAGGCAGCAGAAAGAAGATTCGGGAAGCGAGACGGGCAGGCAAGACCAGCAGTGGAGAGAAGGTGCCCTGAGGGGCAGCAGGAACCTGAGACCTTGTGCTGAATGAACACTTTGAGGCTCTGCACGCATGTGACACTTCGCTCACAAGCCCTCAGGGCAGACCCGTGATGCAGAGACTAAGACAGTCCTTCAAAAGGGCCACAGAGCACCTGGCCAGGCCTTGGAGAGTGACAAGTGGCGAAGGAGTTGGGGGAAGACACCCTGGTTTTACCTGGGCCCTGAGGTGGCTGGCCTGGGCTAGGTCTTAGCCTGCCCTGAGGCCTCCTTTCCCCAGGCTCTGGGTGGCCTGAGAGGGTGGGGCATCCAGGCCCCTCAGGGGCTGTCCTTGTAGCTACACCATGGGGCTTCTAACTCCTTACAGCAGGAAGCAAATGACTTGTGTGCCAGTCACCACTCTGCAGAAGCCTCCTGCCAGCCTTCTCTGCCCAGATGCATCCTTAAGGACTGGGTATGGGGGCGCAGTGCAGAGTCCACAGCCTCATGGTCCCTTACCTGTCTGAACTCCTCCCAGGAATTGGTCCAGGTCCAGAAATGGGCCTTGTACTGGCCCAGGGTGACTGCCATCAGCGTGTTGCCACGGTAATAGAATATTGGCCTGTCAGGGAGGGAGGAGGGGCTCGGGTGATTGAAGAGACTCTTGGATGCATGGTTAGAGCTAAGATTTTATAGAAATGACCCTGATGACATCACATGGGCATAAGTGCAGAAGAAGTCCCTGAGGCTGTAGGGTGAGCCTATGGTCGCTCATCATTCTTGGCCTTGGGAGACCACGTGTGGGGTGAAGCCTGTCTCAGATGGTCACCAGAGGCTCCGGCTCCACTGGGGGACAGACAGCCCACTGAGCCCAGGGCCTCCCTCATAGTAAATAGGCTCTTGTGCCAGGTTTTGAGAAAGAAAAAAAATAGGCAATATTGAAAAAAAAAAAAGAAAAAGAACACAAGCCCATCTGATCTCTGCCCTAAACTCGGGATGGGTAGCTGGTCTCAAGCTGGAGAGAGACTGACTCTGGACACAGAGCATTCTGGTGTTGAGGTGGAAGCCCGGACATGGCTCCAGAGGTTTGGGGTGGCTACTGACTCAAGCAGAGGGACACTCCCTCCTTCCACCCACGGCTGAGCAGAAATGACGGACCCCACAGGGAGGATGCATTTCGTGCCGGAAAGTCACAAGGGTCTCACCTCCCTCTATTCTGAGCCAGCTGGGCAAGGGAACTTGCTTTGTCAGCCAGCTCTGGCTCCGTCGTTTGGTGCTGGGGGAGCAGGCAGAGGGGGCGAATGCCTGGCTAGAACTAACCTGTCCACCAGCTGGCCCTGCAGCATGGAAGGGAGGAGGTCAAGGCCATCGATCACCCTGTCGCTGGGCAGCTCCAAGCCCGCGAGGGACAGGCTGGTGGTGAAAAGGTCCATGACGTTGCCCAGTTGGTGGCTCACCTGAAATGGACATGGGCAGACAGACAGTTGCTTAGGATGCCCTGCCCCGACCAAAAGGCAGCTAGGGGCCAAGTCTCTGCGCGTGCATCCTGCTGCTGCCCAGCTGGGCCTGCAGAGGCATGAAGACTAGCATACACATGCACACAAAGCCACATCCCTTACAGCGCGTCCACACACGAGAACGCGATATACACACGTGTGTGCACATGCCCAGCCCTGTCTACCTCAGCCAGCCTGGTCCCCGTCCCACCTGACCCCAGGCTCTTCTGGAACTCCACACGTCCATAAGCGTCTGGCTGGCTGAGTGTGGCTGATATACAACTCTTCCACTTCAGGACCTGAGAGAAAGGGACGAGTCCCCTCATTGGGAGAGTGGCCTCGGGATGGTCAGGAGCTGAGGGGGGATCAAATTAGCTGTCTGACCCCAGAGCAGGCAGGGCCCTGTTCCATCCCCAGTACTGAACCTTTGCTGCTGCCTGGTGCCTTCAAATGGGAACCAGACAGAAGAGAGAAGATGTGGCCCTCCCAGGGAGCAGGGTCCCACCAGCAGGGTCCCACCTTGGGAGGCCTGCCCTCTCTGAGCCCAACTGCCACATCATTTTGACACTGATGCTGTGACTTTCCAATTCAGGTAAAACTGCAGGCGAAAAAAAGACCCTCAAAGCCCAGAGCAGCATGGAGAGCAAGGGGGGACGAAAGGACAGGAAGGGAGGGCAGATGAACTGGGGTGGGGACTGGCCAGCCTTCTTCCTAGAAGCTGTGGCTGCCCAAATGTAACAATCCGACTCCACAGAGCCAGCAGGAGGTGGCCCTTCAGACAGGCCTAAGGAACTGACCACTCCTGGCAAGGTGCTGCCCACTGGTCTCCTCGGATGCAAGTCTGTTCCCCACGTACAGCTCCACCTTGGCTGACTTCCACCCAGTTCCTTCACTCCTGAACTCTGGATCTGGGGACAAGGGTCTGGTCTGGCAGGTTTGGCAAGGCAAGCATTCTCTTAAGCCACTTCGCATACCCCGGGGCACCCTTGCCTCCATTCCTCTACATGAGGAGAAACTCCCCGTGGAAACCAAGCACAATACATCAGGGCTACCTGTGTCATCTGTTTCTGCAGCCCAGTGTAGGGTGGGGCATGAAGGTCAACATTGAGCTCAAAGACTCTGTGAAGCAGAGGAGAGGAGAAATATTCCAGCAGCTCCCCTCCCTTCTCACTTTTTTTTAGGACCAAAATCTACCTGAAAAAAAAAAAAAAAAAAAAAAGGAGAGAGAAAAGTAAAGAAGAGAAAGAAATCCAGATATTTTAACCGTCTGGAAAAATAAATAAGGAGGAGAGATTGTGGTGCCAGATGGGGGTGGTGTGGGAAGGCGTGGATATCTGAAGTCCTCATATCAGCACAGAACAGCTGGGCGCACTCATGGAAGAGGCTCTTTTTGAAAAATAGACACTCTCGATGTGCACATAATGTCTTTAAGAAAACGCAATTTGTCTGCCATGAGCCCATGGCAGGAAGTCACCAAGGCTGTTATCAGCACTTTCAAGATTTAACTCTGAATCAAAGGCTACAATTAATAAAGTCACCCCGCCAGGCGTGAAGGGGAGAGCTAAATATTTGAAACTGGTTGGACAAATGGCAGGGTGTTTTTAAATAAAATCCTCTCACAGTTATCACAGGGCACAGGCCTGATAGTCCCATCTAATTCAATTTCGGTATGTGCTACAGGATGCGGTGGAGGGAAGGCGGCTGCACAGCTCTGTGTGATATATTTTCTTCTCCAGAGAGCAGGCCCAAAGGGGCCAAGAACAAGGCAGGCAAAGGCTTGCCACAGACAGAGGAGCTGGAGAGAGGGGTCCCCATGGGATTGTCCCAGGAGGGAGAAGTTGGGGGAAGGATGTTGGGGAGGAGGGTAGGCTCCATACTCCATGCCTGGGGGTCTACCCCAGTTCTGCCACCTGCCAGCTGGATGGTCCCAACAAGTGACTATCTTTCACTGGGCCTCAGTTTGCTGACATGTGGAATGGGGATGATGATGATAGGCAGAATGACACCCCCCCAGGGATCTCCATATCCCAGTTCTGAACCCTGTGAATACGCTTCCTTACACAGAGAAGGGGAATCAGGTTGTCAATCAGCTAATCTTAAAATGGGCTGATCCTGGGTCCCAGGGTGGGCCCAGGGTAATCACAGGTCCTAACACTGGGAGAGGGGAGGAGGGCCAGAGTCAGGGTGCCGGCCTGGACCAGGGAGGGAGGAGCCAGAGACTAAGAAGCCAGAAAAGGCTCAGAAATGAGTTTCCTCCAGGAGCCTCCAGGAGGGATCGGCCCTGTGACACCGGATTCTAGCTCCGGGAGACGGAGCTGGACTTTCGACCTCCAGACCTGAGAGAACAAACATGTGTGGTTCCAGCGCCTCAGTGCGGTGACTGTTTCAGCGGCCACAGGACACTCAGAAGCCCCCACGGTGCTGCTATGAGGGCTGAGCTGACACTAGTGCTGAGAACAGTGTTCTCTGGAGCTCAGAAGGGAAAAAAAGACCGAGACAGTGACACACACGATTACAAACAGTCTTGACACCCTGAGCATGTCTGAATCAAGGTGCTCAGTCAGAGAAGACCCTGAGTTCTCAGCCAAGGCAGGGGCAGAGCGAGGGCTTGAGGAGCAGGACACACACCATGCCCAGCCAGAGGACCAGGTCAGCCAGCCCTGCAGTTTACACCTGCACACTGCAGACAGATAACCAACCAGAGTCGAGCTCCTGCTGTCTCTAGGACTGTGTCCATAGAACAGTGGTCTGGGAGATGAAGTTTGGAAAAAGAGTTCTATGACCCAACAAGACTTTAAAAACTCAGCTTGCTCTATACTCCTTCCAGAAGTTCACAATATTCATTAGCATACTAAAGGCTCTGATAAGTCCTGCAGAAACAAGCCATTCTACTCAGTCGCACTCAAAACTGCCACATTAACTAACCACGGACGCCTCCTCCCCGCATGGCGGATACTGACACTACACGCCATATCTGTCAGAGACTGTTCCAGTGCCCATCCCATGGACCCTTCACCAGCTGCCTCCCCCAGTGAGTATGACTTTCGTGTTTCCTAGGCAAGGTAGAGTGAGTGGAAGGTGCAGGCCCACGAGGGGCCGAGTCTCCACATCCCAGGATGACAACAGGCCTGGCCGCGTGGCCAACCTCTGACTCACCTGGCCTGCGGCGATGTGGCCGGGCCACCACACGATTGCAGGCTCCCTCATTCCACCTTCGAATGTGGTCTGCTTCCCGCACAGAAAGGGGCCGTTACTACCGCCTGGGGAGGGAGAGTTGTCGCCCGTCAGTGGTCTATCCCGATTCTCCAGAGCCACACATGCCCTACTGGGCACGTGCCCATGCCTGACTCCCGCCCAGCTGTCGAAGGTGATGCTGCTGAAACACCAAGGCACCAAGGTCATCATGAAGACAGAGGACCAGCCTCAAGGTGGCTCTAACCCAGGAGACCATCCTAGATGCTCTGGTTGTAACACAGTGCCCCTAATGAGGAGCGATTGCTCAGAAATGGAGGGCGTGACCACTCTTGTTAGCACAAGATGCAGATGCTTCTCAAGCAGAACCATAGAGCCAATCCCAATAGCAGGTCATTAGAGCTTCCTGTCTGTTCAGGTGCAGCATTTCTTAAATGTCAGGGTTCACGAGCCTCCCTGTGTTTGAGATTAGAGAGTGTAGTTAATACATCAGTTCCTGGGCCTCACAGGGTTGTCCCATCAGGGATGGGGCACAGATTCATTCCTGACAAGCCCAGCTCTAAGCAGGTGGTCCCTGAACCATGCTCAAAGTGTCAGAGGGCAAAGCCCCCATCGCTGGCTGGTCTCAGGTCCTGCTCGATCCCAGAGCACGAGCCCTCTGGCTGGTCTCAGGTCCTGCTCGATCCCAGAGCACAGAGAAGTTTCCTGAGGATAAATGGGTGTCTGCTGCTTCAGCATGAGCTGCCCAGGGCTCACCTCAGGTCCTTTGAAAATGGGGAAACAAAACAGAGCAGTGTTTTCTCTAGCAGGAAGTCCCACGGTTTGTCCCTGGCACTGGAACCTGAACGTCATCTCCATGCATCAGTGCAGCCCAGTCTCAAGAGAAGAGCAGCGACGAACACACAGGGACCACTGGGAGCACTGGCAGACTCCGCATCCCGTGTGTGAATGCAGGGACAGTGAGGAAATGCGATGTGCCACTCTGAAGATGGGCTCCGGGTGCTGAGGACCCAGTGCCTTTCTCTTTCTATTTCTCAGGCTGGTTGGAGGGTACACAGATCTTCACCTTACTGTCATTTGTATCTTACAGATGTTTCTGTCCATGTGAATTGTTCCATGATGTAGCAAAAAAGACTAGGGTGATTAAACCCAAGCCCAGGCTGGAAGGTTGGTGGTTCCAATGAGGCTTGGCCATCAGGGGCTGGCAGGGACACTGACATTCAGTTGGGCCCTGGGCCTCTGCTGGGAGGGAGATGGGGTTCCACCCCTTTTCCAGAACCAGCAGCTGTATGGTGAGAATGAAGTCTCTCCAAGAGTGGGGCTGTGCCATGGATGGCACCACACACTACCCCTGGGGACCTAGACCCTGAACTGCTGTTCTGTCACCAACAGGGTTCCTTCTCAGCTTGAGCCAGCTGTGCTAGTCCTGTCATTTAAGATCCTGAAGCCCCTTCTGCTCCCCTGACCACACAGTCCTCCAGTGTCTTCCCCACTGGAGGGGGGGGTCCCAATGGGGTTTCCTGCTTTGCGTGGCCTTCCATCCACAGCTGACTGACTCAGGGCTCTGCTGGGGCCCTAGCATTTTTAAGAATGGGGTGAAAAGATATGCCATCACTAGGGTGAAACTCTTACAAGACAATAAAATGCCAAGGTGCAACCACCTCACAACATAAGCTGGGAACCAGAGCTCATTGAAGGACCTGGGGTCATGGTCTTCAAGAGGCCTGCAGGCCCAGCTTGGGTACAGAGGCTGCTCTGGGGGGTATGCGGCTCTCTCATTGCACCAGGGCTCTGGGTGCCCCCCAAGGCCAGCACTGCGAGGGTAGGGGCTCAGTTCCTTCCCTTCTAGACACCACCCTCCATGAGGCCTTGGTGAAGAAGTTTTGAGGCGGGGGGTGAGCCTGGGCCTGCCTTCCAAGAAAGCTGGGAAGTATGTCTCCTGCATTTTTAGCTCCCAAGGGAGATGGTCATTGCCCCCACAGTGAAGGGATGCTCCTTAAACTCCAAAAAAGGTGCAAATGTGGCTGGTCAAACACATAACAGCTACCGTGTTAAATTTAAGTTTAGAATAAAAACACTAATGGAGAACATCAGAGCTTCAGAGGGAAAAGCTCAGAAGTGACCTCACTTAGCCCTAAATATATAGGAGGTAGAAGTGACCTGCTTCCAGAGCCAGTCAGTGGCAGAGCTGGGACAGGATGAAGGCCCTGGCCTTGGTCTCCATCCTCCCCCACTGAACTCTCCCTCCTGCCCCGGCACCTCCAGGAGAGCCAGAATTGCCAACAGTTTGGGAGAGGGGTGTTAGGTGGTCACTGTTTCACATACTGACACACCCACCCTGGGCTAGAAAAGGCCAAGGTGCTCTAGTCTTTCAGGGAGGATAGCGTGTCACAGAACATGGGTGTTGGTGGGCAGCCCCTGCTAGTTTTGTGTGTGATGAGGCCCAAGCCAACCCCACAGGGCACCCCTTGGTCTCCTCATATCTTTCCCCACTGGATGGGGCACTGGGAGGAGAGTGGGCATCTTCCCCACTGGAGGGGGGCCCGGGCTGAGCCCCCTTCACACTCTGCCCCAGCAGTGGCTGAGACCCTGAGTCTCAGGGGTCCAGTGTTCCCAAGTGGGGCCTTGTTTTGGGGTATGATTATGGGATCACTCCAAACACCTGCCTTGTTTGGGAGCAGAAATAAGGGCAGCACCATTGTCAGACGTGAAGAAAACAAATGTGTCCTTTGTGATCTTCAGGTCCTGAAGAAGGCTCAGGATTTTCCCCACGCTGTCATCGATCTCCCGGACAGCATCCCCATACCTATGAGGAAGATGGAACATTTACCAGATGGCCAAGGACATCAGTGTGATCAAAGAGCAGTTAAGTCGTAACTTTGGGGATGGACAACAAAATGGACTGGCTAAAGTTACAAGGCCTGCAGGCCCAGCTTGGGTACAGAGGCTGCTCTGGGGGGTATGCGGCTCTCTCATTGCACCAGGGCTCTGGGTGCCCCCCAAGGCCAGCACTGCGAGGGTAGGGGCTCAGTTCCTTCCCTTCTAGACACCACCCCCCATGAGGCCTTGTTTTGAGGTGGGGGGTGAGCCTGGGCCTGCCTTCCAAGAAAGCTGGGAAGTATGTCTCCTGCATTTTTAGCTCCCAAGGGAGATGGTCATTGCCCCCACAGTGAAGGGATGCTCCTTAAACTCCAAAAAAGGTGCAAATGTGGCTGGTCAAACACATAACAGCTACCGTGTTAAATTTAAGTTTAGAATAAAAACACTAATGGAGAACATCAGAGCTTCAGAGGGAAAAGCTCAGAAGTGACCTCACTTAGCCCTAAATATATAGGAGGTAGAAGTGACCTGCTTCCAGAGCCAGTCAGTGGCAGAGCTGGGACAGGATGAAGGCCCTGGCCTTGGTCTCCATCCTCCCCCACTGAACTCTCCCTCCTGCCCCGGCACCTCCAGGAGAGCCAGAATTGCCAACAGTTTGGGAGAGGGGTGTTAGGTGGTCACTGTTTCACATACTGACACACCCACCCTGGGCTAGAAAAGGCCAAGGTGCTCTAGTCTTTCAGGGAGGATAGCGTGTCACAGAACATGGGTGTTGGTGGGCAGCCCCTGCTAGTTTTGTGTGTGATGAGGCCCAAGCCAACCCCACAGGGCACCCCTTGGTCTCCTCATATCTTTCCCCACTGGATGGGGCACTGGGAGGAGAGTGGGCATCTTCCCCACTGGAGGGGGGCCCGGGCTGAGCCCCCTTCACACTCTGCCCCAGCAGTGGCTGAGACCCTGAGTCTCAGGGGTCCAGTGTTCCCAAGTGGGGCCTTGTTTTGGGGTATGATTATGGGATCACTCCAAACACCTGCCTTGTTTGGGAGCAGAAATAAGGGCAGCACCATTGTCAGACGTGAAGAAAACAAATGTGTCCTTTGTGATCTTCAGGTCCTGAAGAAGGCTCAGGATTTTCCCCACGCTGTCATCGATCTCCCGGACAGCATCCCCATACCTATGAGGAAGATGGAACATTTACCAGATGGCCAAGGACATCAGTGTGATCAAAGAGCAGTTAAGTCGTAACTTTGGGGATGGACAACAAAATGGACTGGCTAAAGTTACAGGTGAAGAGGAGCAAAGTTCAAGTTCTCAGAGTTAATCCAGGATAGAGCCGACCACACCACTGTCACACTCCCACTGATCCTAGGCTGAACAGCTTCAGAGGCACAAGTGTTTCAGTCTTTTTCTATAATTGATCATTAAAAACATCATAGTACTGAGTGCCCTGTCCTTGGAGGTAATTAAGCACAGCCGAACCCCCCCAGGTCGGGGTTTATGTCTCTACAACCAAGGACTCACCGTCCTCGCTGACTGGTGCCCAAGAAAGGCTTAGAAGCGTAAACAGGTGCATGTGTGGCATCGATGGCCCAGTAGAGAAAGAAGGGGCGCTGAGCTGCCTGCTGCCTCTTAATGAAATCCAGGGCTTCCTGAGGAGAAGAACACACCATCTGCCTCTGCCTGAAGGCTGACTTCCCCAACCACAGAGCCTGCCCAGCCCAGGTGGCCATTACCTGTAAGTAGATCTGGGTCAGGTTGGCTTCTCCAGTCCTCAGATCAATTGGAAATTCTTCATAAAATCTGAAAACGATATATATCCAGACAGAAATTAGATTTCAGGCCAAGAAAGCCCCTTCTCCCTGATTTCAGAGGCAAAGTCATGGGCTTCATTCAAAAGAATGATAGAAACATTCAATAAATGAAATTGGAAGCTCACACTGCTCCTGAGGTCACAGTTTCTTCAAGGACGAAGTGGGGCTAAGGCTGGGTGCCACGGTCACCATTTGGGAGAAGGATGGAGAGCGACGTGTGAGGACAGAGGACAGTGAAAGAAAAGCAAAAGGTGGATCCCAGTTACTTAGGGCTAACGAGTGCCGGGTTTCCTTTTGAGGTGATAGAAGTGTTCTGAAACCGGTGATGGCTGCACAACGCCACGAACATACTAGAAAGCACTGAACTGTACAATGTAAATGGGTAAACTGTCTGGTGTGTGAATTTTCTCAAGAAAGCTGCTATTTAAAAAAAGCTGCTATTTAAAAAGGCAATGAGTTGGCCCAACTTCTTGGTCCACTGATATATAATGAGCTTAAATCTAAAAAAAATTAATAATAATAATAGTAAAGGAAGAAGAAAGATTAAGCCAAACGAAACTCGAGAAAGACTAGGGCCCAGCCTGGTGTGGCCACGCTGCAGGTGCCCCACTGCCGGGTGGTGGGCAGGACCAGGGTGACTCTGGTGCCACCTGCCTTTTAGACGCCAGCTCGCTTTTGGCAGGCTCACAAATAGAGTTCATCCCACCGTGTCCTCTGTGATGCTGCCAATTTCTTCAACGTGTAGCATGTGACCAACATGCTAACCTGGTGCAGGCAGATGGCCTCTGCAGCTGGAGCCCAGGATCTGCCACAGGGCTGCACGGCCTGAGCCTAGAAGCCGTGCGAACGGCTGCTATGTGAACACACCTTGTTTTAAGAAGCATCTCTGGCTTTCATTATATTTTCTAAACAGGTGAGAGACCCCGTAGGTGTGGCTTAAGCGGTGGCCTAGGCCATGAGTCCTATAAGGCTCTGGGCAGGACAACCAGCTGGCAGAGCAAGGCCCAGCCCACTGGGATGCCAGCGCTGGGGGGCAGGTGCTTTCAGAACCTCTGTCCAGCTCCTAGGCAGCCCCAGAGGGCAGAGGCTGGGCTCATCGTCAAAGGGCAGGAAGGGAAGGGACTGTTACCTGCCAACCATCTCCCAGTCCCGGTACACGGGGATGTTGGGCCTGGCCCTGTTGTCATAAGGTCCAAAGTGACAGTTGGGGGATCCAAACCACTCATCAAATCCGTGCCTCAGGGGGTGGAACTGAGGCCTGTGGCCCAGATGCCTAGAAACAGAAACCCAGGACACTTTACGGAACCCCACATGGGGACATCCCAAAGTTCTGAGCAGCAATACCCCATCGACTTCACAGAACATTTAATGAAACAAGGGCTCTCTAGCACCCAAAGTGTGCTAAGCCTGGACACAGCAAGACCTCACCCTCCAGGGGACATCAGGACCACCTACCCTTCCCCAGCAACGCTGCCAGGGACACAGACTGGGACAGTGCCAGGACCAGATATTGCTGTTTATCAACCCAGCATCTTGGCCAGGACTGGTGAAGGGCATGACTAGAAGAAAATGTGGCAATGTGACAACTGCCAAGCTGTTTGGAAACCCAGGCGCTCTGCAAGCTCTTGCCACACGTTGCAGGTGTCATTTGAACCCAGGAGAAGCTCTTGCTGGGCTTGTCTTGCACTCCCATCCTCACGGGCTCCTTCCCCCTGGGGGCACCTAATGTAGGTCCTCCCGCCAATAGGAGGTGCTGACACACTCGCATCTGAATCGGGTACCAGTGGTCCTTGAGCACGTCCCCATCTATTCTTTGGAATGCAGGGCTTACAGAGGTTCTGGAGTTCTGGAGTTCTGTGGCTCTGGGTCTCAACCCACTGCGGAGTGAGCTGACTCCAACCCTGAGAAGTGGATGGGTTTCCTAGGATTTTTGTTTGCAGAAAGACTCTTGCAGTGACACATGTTTAGGAAACTGTGTCCCTGGAGCAGAGGGTCTTATTTCTCTGCTGTGCTCGGGCAGGCCCCACCCTGACCGCTCGGAGGCCCTGCAGTGGGTCATGCAAATCCCCACTCACTATACCACTTGATCACTTGGTTAGAAAGGACACAGTATGGGGTGGCAGGGGAGGCTGGGCTGGATGCAGTCTGAGTCTAGATGACATCTCTCGGGGCCTCGGTTCCTCACTGCCGGTTCTAAAATGCTGTGCCTCCAGATGGCTGCCTGGCACCCGCCTTGGGCATCTCCGGCCTCCCTGCCAGCTGCGCCAAGTGTCGGTTCTGCTCTGGCCACTCTCTGCACTTTGTGCTTCCTGTTTGCAACTCATGTCTTCTCTGGGCCACTGCTACATACCCAGTCATTTCTCAATACTTCACTCCAGTACCAGCTGTGTGTGACTCTTGTGGGCCCACATTTGTCAGCACAAATGGCCTTTGCTTAACAGAAACACCAGCTAAGGTCCTGCTCATGTTAAGCTGTCAATTCAAAGTCCTTGCCCCCAAACAGCAGCAGGGCCAGCCCTGCCTGAAGGTGAGCTGAAGCAGCAGCATGTTGCAGCCCCCAGGGACTTGGGGCAGATGGAGCAGCCTCTCACAGGAGTCCAGGTTCCAGCCACACCAGGCCTTGGTCAGTCTGAGGAAATCTAAATCCATGGTACTGGGGCCCAGAGGCAGGACATCAGGGCAGCCACAGCCACAATTGCCAACATCCTCCCATTTAGTCCCCACTGAGACAGGGACCTCTACCTGGTCGAAGAGAGGCCGAGCTCTCCGTCTCAGGCCTCCTAGGCCCTGTCCTTGCTCTGGCCATGACTGTGGCCCATCCATCAGCACTGTGTCCACCGCCCCGAGTCCACTCAGAGCTGTTTCTCTGGGCCCTGCTCTCCTCCTCTTGCACCTGTGTCACCTCTCTTCTCCTGGAGACACGCTGCCATTCCAGCTCTGGCTGCCCTGCGTCAATGACCATCAATGGGAGGCTGCCGGACCCAGGGCAGAGCTGCCAGGCTGGGCACAGAGAGCTCTGGTCACCGGGGGCTCTTCCGTCTGCCAGCACAGCCCTGACGTAGCTCTGGCGGGCCTCGCAGCCGGCCTCTGCCACAGCCGCCCGGGCCTTCCTGGCACTGCTCAGGACCGTGCAGGCAACACAGGCTCCCTCAACCCAATGCACCCCCACCAGCTCTGCTCTGCAGCCACCGCCTCCTCCGAGTTCGTCCCCTCGGCAGGTGGCTCCCAACTTGTCTCAGAAGGGAGAAAATGTTCATTAGGCAGCCTTTGGATCGCCAGGATTTTCTGATGATTACTCTCCAGGTTTTCTCGATCTCCCATCCCTATGACTGTCAACGTGCAAGGAGCAGCAGTTCCCAAGCGGTGCAGACAAGGCACTCATCCTTGAGAAAGCAGTGCCAGTGAGTGCCAGAGGGGTTAAGGGCAGAGGGGCCACAGCATGTCGAAGGAGAGACAATTAGGGCTAGAAAATCATGGAAGGGTTCCTGTAGGAAGTGGGCTTGTTGTGGGCCCCAACACTAAGGAAGGGAAAGAAGACATCTAACCTTTACGCTAATCCTTCAGGGCTTCAGACTTGGGAAACCCCAGAGAGCAAGAGGCAGAAACTGCTTAACATGCTTAAAGCAGCATAAACAGCATGCGTAGTAACGTGACCTATAATCATTTGAACCTGATGACTCCACTCCATATGACTATCCTCTACCTCTTGGTTACTTCTTCATTTTACCACCAGACAGCCCTTGTGCTTGCTGACAAAGTGTATCATCCGTGATGGCCCTGAGTGAGCGATGATGTGGCTCTTCCGTGATACTGCAGCAGCAAGCAGCACAGCGAGAAGAATGGAGAGAAGGGGCAGGTGGCTGGGACGTGTGAGTTTCGAGGAGAACGATGGGCTCTCGGCCAATGCCCCATGATGCCCTCATGATAGGAGGTCCACCAGCACAGCCACACCGTCTTTTAAAGGAGAGCTTCAGACATCTAAAGGGACCTGGAATTCAGACTGCACTCCCCACCCAAGAAGTTTTCCCTGTTTGGAAATGTTTAGCCATGACCCTGTGTGGATGTACCCAGCCGGCTGAGTATCAGGACTCACCACTTGCCCACAATCTTGCTGACGTAGCCAGCCTTCTTCAGCAGCTCGGGCAGGAGGAGCTCCGTGTCCGGGATGCCACCCACGACCTCCTGCGGCGTGTAGGCTGGAAGAGCATCACATAGCATGAACGACTTGCATACATGGAGCAGTCTATGCCACAAAAGGTAATGAATTTGAACAATGGCCCTTCAGGGTCAATAGGCAAAGCCTTGGTGAAGAGCTGGTATTGCTGCATGGCACTTTTGAGGTCTTCCAAGTACCTCCCCAAAGTTTGCACCTCCTCTCTGCTGGTCTGTGGGGTCTCTGGAACATGCCATCTGATGCCACGAGGGTCCCACCCATGGCAGGCTCTCCCGTGCTTTCTATACTCCCTTTCTCCAAGGGCAGGTCCTTGCTGACCTCACAGCACCTGGCTTCCTCAGGTCTCTTTGTGGGCGTACAGCTTGCCCACCCAAATGGGCAGCAGCTCCTTGTGGGGAGGGTATGCTCCACTCGCCAGGCTGTGCTGGGCCGCCCTGGGCCAGGACGCAACAGGGAAGGAGTTGTGAGCGGAGCCTGTCGCCTTGGCAGTCCCCCTGAAAGCAGGAGCTGGGAAGGGGCCGGGCTCCATCTTGACCCCCTGAGATCACACACTAACCTCATCTTCCTCTCTAGTTGCTTAAAATGCATTGTTTTTGATGGAAGCACTGCATCAAAATGGCAAGTTATAACCCAAACAAAGCCCTTGACCTTGGAGAAGAAAGGTCTCACATAAGAATGGGTGACAAATACCCCACGTCGCCCCCTCTGGTCCTCAGCCCCCCAGGCCTGGGGTGCAGCCTGAGTACACACGCACCATTCCTGGCCTGCCCGTTGGTGGTGTAGAAGCCGTTGCGGATGGGCAGACGTCCCGTGAGCAAGGCCGCTCTTGCTGCATGGAGGCAAAGAAATAGAAACATGATGAGAACATGTCACGTGTCAGGCCCATGGCCAACCTGTGGAGCTTCTGCCAGCCTTCCGAGCCTGGGTAGGCAGACCATCCCTATACTGACCGGCTCAGAGGCGGGTCACTAAGGAGCACTGACCAGGCCCTGAAGCTCAGCATTGTCCAGCCCTCAACTGCTCTTCCTATCTCCCAGGACAGCCACCAAGATGTGAGGTCCACACAGCCCCCCATGTGTATCCCATCCTGCATTCCTTCTCTTCCTCAAGATAACATTTACACGGGAATCCCTCAGCAGCATTGATCCTCTGGAAGGGAGGGGGCTAGGCTGCCCCTCCCCTACACTGACAACCACTTCCAAGCCAAGAGCTTCTGAGCCAGCCACAGCCCTCCGTGCCTAAGAATCAGAGCCACTACATGTAGCAACTCTGGCCTCAAAGATCCTTATAGGGGACAAGCCTTCAGTGGCTTAATGGACCCACACAGCATGGAGCCAGGAACCCAGTGTGACAGGGAGCCAACAGGCTGTGCATGCCTACCCACCCTCTTGGCCCTCAGAGGAAATGTGGTGAAACTGATGCCTCCATCAAGGCTGCCTGCTCCCCATGTCCCCATCTCTCCAGAACGTCCTGTGCTTGCTCTTCTGTGCTTGCTCTCCCTTGCTGTGACTGCCTCCCCTGCCAGCCCCCCATGCCACTCCCCTGCTCACTCCCTACGCCAGCTCTGACTTACATGGTGAGCACAGGGGGTTGGCTGTGTAGAAGTTTGGGAAAAGCATGCCCTCGGCAGCCATCCGGTCCAAATTTGGGGTCTCTCTGGAAGGCTCGCCATATACCCCCAGGTCGCCCCATCCCATCTGCAAGAAAGGGCATAGAGAGGTAGATGAAACCTCCTTCCACTTTGGGGGCCCACGCCACAGAGCTTCCTCCCGACCCAGCACGTGGCTTGGGTACAAGGAGTGCGGGCAGCAGCTGGGCTTCAGGGCCTACTTAGCGGAGATGTTGTGTGCTCACCTCTGCCCTGGCCTCGACATAGAGAAGAAGCCCTTATTATAAGTCTGTTATGCAGACTGAGATTTAACATCAAGTGGAAGGCTCCCCATAAAGCTAAATGGAACGTGGCCATGTGACCCAGCCATTCAACTACGGAAACGTGTTCCACACAAAACTTCACACATGGCCACAGCAGTGCAGATCACAATGGCCCAAAGGGAATCCCCAGTGTCTGTGAGGTGATCAACGATAAAACACAATGTGGTCTATTTGTTGGCAGTGGGTTGAATAGCGGCCCCTAAAATTTATGTCCATTCAGAACCTGTGAATGTAACCTTATTTGGAAATGCAGTTGTAATTAGCTAAGATGAGGCCATACCAGAGAAGAATGGGCCCTAAATCCAATGACTGGTGTCCATAGAAGAGAAAGAGAGACAGACACACAGAGGCCATGTGACTACAGAGACAGAGATTGGAGTGATGCGATTATAAGCCAAGAACACCTGGGGCCCCCACGAGCTGCAGGAGAGGCAGGAAGGATCTTCCCTCTGAACCTCAGGAGGAACGAGCCCTGCTAACACCTTGATTCCAGACTCCAGAGCTGGGAGAAGAGATTTATGTTGTTTTAAAGCATCAAATTTGCAGTGATTTGTTATGTCCCAGGAAACTAATACAGATGCTATGGAATATTTCTACAACCTGGATGAACAAGGTCCCTCCAAGCAGGGTCTCCTTAGATGGCCCCTCAGCATGAGTCCCCACGGCATCGCTTCCACAATGACTAAATGCCATGTCCTCTTCTCTTAAACAAGGCGTGGCAAGCGGGGGGGGGGGCGGTGGAGGAGATGAGGAGAAAAGGGCCCCAGAGGGCCAAGGCTGCTCCAGCCCCCAGACAAGTCAGGTCTTCCCTCATGGAGTGACACATTACTCCTTCCTGGTAAGGTATCTGAGCACCAAACCTGGAGTGACCATCCTACCCAGCGATTCCACTCCTGGGTGTCTCCCCAGCAGTGCCCAAAACATACATCCACACAAGAACGTGCACATGATGTCCACAGCAGCACGATTCCCAAGTATGCAGACAACCAAGTATCCAGCTAGTGATGGATGAACACAATGTGTTCATCCACACATAGGAATATTACTCGGCCATAGAAAGGAGTGAAGTTTTGACACGTGCTACAACATGAACCTTGAAAACACAATATTACATGAGAGCAGCCAGTCACAAAAGGACAAATGATGTGATTTCATTTCATTTATATGAAATGTCTAGAACAGGCATATCCAGAGACAGAAAGCAGATAGTTGCCAGGGGCTGAGGTAGAATTGGCAGTGACTGCCAGTGGGAACGAGACTTTCTTTTGGGGTGATAAGAATGATCTGAAGTTGACTGTGGTGATCGTTGCACAATGAGGCGACTATACTAGAAACCACTGAACTGTACACTAAACTTGGTGAAATGCATGCACTGTGAACTACATCGCAATAGAGCACTTAGAACAGAAAAGTGCAGGCACCTGGATTTCTGCTGAGGCCTGGTAGGACCCTGGCAGCTCTCTGTCTTTCCAGGGGCCCCTTAAAGCCTTTCTGACTAACTGGGCTCTGGTGAATCAGCCAACAAGAAATCTCAGGCCCGTATGAAAGGACAAGGGTCTGAACTGAGAGGAAAGTGCCTGCCTAAGACTGCACACAGCAGTGTGCTGACCTGGAAAACTCCGAAGACATAGGGTTGATTCTACAGAAGTTTTGGAGAGTAAGGCCTGGTGATACCATGAAGAGATCTGGCAACTCTGGGTCATACGAGGGTGGCTGTATGTGCAGATTTGCCCAGGAAGGTCCCAGTTAGGTCTGTTGTCTGACTGTAATTATGAGTGACTCTTTTCTACATGATAAGTTATACAGCCACCCTCCCTGGAGGGGTGAGCTCAGGACGGTGACACTGTCTCCAGTGAGATTCAGCCTCCAGGCTTCTCTCAGGCATTGCCTTCTCCTATTGATCTTGTGTCCCAGCTTCAGGCTGGTTGTGACATAGAGGGCCTTTGCCTTTGGACCACGTGGTCTGCTCTCGAAGGCCCTGTTGGCTGTAGGATCCCAGGTTTGGCCTTTTCAGCTTTGGATTCCTTTGGAGATGGTTTATTTTGAAGTCACTGAAATGGCTTTTCCATTTGGTGACAATAGGAGCTGGAATGAAATATGGACCGAGAGAGGTGTGGCTGACAGAAGAAAGGAAGGTGGGGTGCTCGTGGGTAGAGAAGGGACAACGTGCCTCACTCAGTCTGCCAAGGCCCTGCACGAAGTTTGCATGTCCAGGGTTAGGTCCTACATGCCCAAGTTGGGGACTGGGGGGTAGAAGGAAGAACATCCTCAGGAGCATCTGCTGACTTAGCAGAAGCCCCAGCGCAGGCTGAGATGGAACAGCTCGCTTGAAGCCTGGCCTGGAGAGGGCTCCCAGGCAGCATGCTTAAGGATCCTTCCTGCACTCACTCCACCCTACCCCGAGTGTGGATTTGTCCTCATGGGCACAGGTGGGCTGCTGTCCCTCTAGAAAAAGCACATGCCAGGTCAGAGGAGCAGAGAGAGGCAGGGGGGCTGGTAAACACATGGCGCCCTTTGCCTGGCACCCAACAAAGTTCCGGCCCCCCAGTAAGAAGGTATGTGCTCAATATAAATCACAACATTTGCATAAACAACGTAGGCACAGGGAGCCCCTCCTATTGGATTTATCTCTAAACCCCAGGTCCCAGATGCTGGCCAAATGCCAACCTGCTTAGAGGTGGGCCTTTCTGAGGCCAGCAATCACTGGCCCACTGTGTTAACTCTTGTCTGCTCAATATCATTCTATTACCTGTTTATTAGCTTTCTTAGCTATAAAAATAGGAATATTAACAACGACCTGGCAGAGTTATTAGAGGTTAAATTAAATCATCTCAAACACAGTATTTAGTATCTTTTTCCCTCTCCTACGTGACCACCCACATTCACAGGGAGCAAAAGCCAGATGGGCCTCAGGACTTACGGTCCTCTCCCCACTCTCGACCTTTCTTTCACTTCGTCTCAAGACTTGGGAGCAATGCAAGCATCACTTACTGCTGGTTACGAGGGATTGTCATAAAGACACACACTCATTGAAGGACTCACGGGGTCTGCTGACTGGCTCTGGAGGCTCAGGTTAGGGGCACCTGCCTGATGGGCCCACTGTGGTCACACCAGAGCTGGCCTTTGTGCAGCCCAGCTTTAAACTTCCTCAGTAGTCAGGGTGGTCGCCCTTAGTCCTTTTACAAATAAAGGACCCAGATGCAGAGAGCACTAAGACCCTCAGGAGCAGAAGTGGTCTTGGGCCCAGTCAGGCCGGGACGTCCCAGGAAGGAGCTCTGTCCCCTACCCCATCAGCCTTTGGAAACAAAGCCGAGTCAGCTCCACTGAAGAAATGGTTTCATCTTCTAAATTCATACAATGCATGTGTACCAGGGTCTGAGGACACAACTGGGGAATAAGGAAGCAGATGCCATCCCTACCCTCACCAGGTGTCGCCCTGGACAAAGGGGGTCTGCACACCCTGCCACAATTGCCCCATCTTGCTTTCTGACTGGTCCTCTATTGGTGTGTGTGTGTGGCGGGGAGGGGGGGGGAATATTGGCTAGAAGCCCTGACTGCCCAGGCCAGCAGACCCCTCCCCAGCCAGTGAACCTGGTTCAGAGGTACTGAGTGAGTTTTCACAGCAGCGCGCCCTTCCACTAGACCTGCTGACCGTAAGGGCAGGTGAGGCCATGAACCAAGGGGGCCTCTGGATCCTGTTGCCTAAAGCCACAGTAGTCTCAGCCTCTCTAGTCAAGAGAGTTGAGTTTCTCATTTTTGCTTGTCACTTTTGCGTTTTCTCTTATTTGCCACCAAAAAGTCTTGACTTATCCACATTTGCTGACCAGTTCAAAGGTCTTCCAGACTTCTTTGGTTTCAGCTGCCAGAGAACCCCAAAGCCACAAGGAGGAACCTGCACTGGAGAGGCCCAGCACTGGGGCTCCTGGCTGAAGTTCCAGTTCCTGCTGCCCCACTCCAGGGTACCCAGGCAGGGGCGCTCCCCATGTCAGTGCCCTTTGAGTAAAAATAATTCCAGTGCTGGTCATGTTCCACCACTCAGAACCTCCAGGGCTTAAAACAACACTTCCAACAGAAATAGACAGGAGCCACCTGTGTAAGTTTGCATTTTCTAGTAGCCCCATTAAAAAGGCAAAAAGAAACAGATGAATGAGGGCTAAGTTATTTTATTTAATCCAATACAGACATACCTCATTTTGTTGCACTTTGCTTTATTGTACTTTACAGGTGTTACATTTTTTACAAACAGAAAGCAAGACCCTCTACCAGCAAAAAGATCACAACTTGCTTTATTGCAACACTTGCTCTACTGCAATACTTGCTCTATTATGATAAACTGTTGTGGTGGTCTGGAACCGGACCCGCAATGTCTCCGAGGTATATCCAAAATATTATCATTTCAATAAACCTTCAGTAAACTGCCAGAAGGGCACATGACACGCTTCACACACCCATTGCCACTCTGGAAAGAAAGGGAAGAGGAAGAAACCTGAAAGATAGAGCACTCAGCTAGAATCTCACTATCCAAAAGACTGTTTGAACGAGCCTTGACAGGGACTCCGGCTTAGAAAAGACAATGTTGAAACAGAAAGCAAGTATTTCCAAGACTAACATGTTCATTAGGAAGCAGTTTCCCTACTGGCCATCAGGATGGGGCTGGCTGAGGGGCTGCAGAGCCTGCTTTAGAAGCAGTCATCATCTGAATGAGTCTGTGAGACTAAAATGAAGCACGTCCAGTGTTGCTACTGAGTGGTGGGATTTGGGGTGGATTTCTATGATCTTTTCAGGGTCATCTGAATGTTGTTAATTTTTTGTAATAATTTTAATAAAAAAATTATTAAATTATTACATTATTACATGTAATTTAATGAGTAATATTCTTTTACTCATAATAAGTTTTCAAAATCAGAGTATTTTATACACACAGCACCTCTCAATTCTGACCAGCCAAGACAGTCTAAGAACCACGTGAGGCTCCTGGCCTCAGTTCAAAGGTTCTTACGAGTGTCTTTGCTGGCCTTTTGGGGGAACTCTGAACTATATTTACTCACAAAACACTTCTGACACCAAACGTGTGGGGGAGGTTTCCACACCAGCCACTTTTCCAACTCTCCACTTACCAGCTGGGGAGTCCAACAATTCAGTTCAGTTTTGACACTATCTACCTGGAGCTAGCCTCAGACCCCACAGGTCAAGGATTCAGTCCCACAAGCCTGCCCCGCTTCAGCTATCAGCTAGCTACAAGTCCTGGGCCTCCCGCACGTCCAACCTTGCTCAAGTTCAATAATTTCCTAGAATGACTCACAGTACTCAGAAAAGTGCTGTATTTACTTTTACTATTAACAGTAGCTCATTATAAAGGATACAAGTCAGAAACAGTAGATTGAAGAGGTGCCTAGGGCAAGGTATAAAGAAACTGTGTTCTCATTGTTTAGGGTTTTTATGGAGGTCTTGTTACATAGGCATGATTGATTAAATCATTGACCAGCTGGTGAAGGAACTCAGACTCCAGCCCCAGTCTCCTCTGAAAACTTCAACCTTATTCACGCCTTTGCCTTCTGGATACCCCATTCTGAAGCTATCCAGGGCCCCGGCCACCAGTCGTCTCATTAGCACACCACAGACACCATTATCACTCCAAGAGTTCTAGGAGCTGTATGCCAGGACACTGACTTTTATCATATCACAGGACCTGATGGTACTGAGCACCATGGCCTGCACTCTGCCCTGCCACAGTCCTCATATCACTGTGAGGAGAGCAGGATAGTGAGGAGGCAAGGCCCAAAGAGCTTCAGTAACTTTCCTGGGCTCAGAGGGGAGAAGGATCCTTGAACTTAGAAATGAAAGTTTGTCTGCATCCCCACTTTACCCTGATGTCTCATGTTGACTACTTTCAGAATCTCCATTTTACTCCTGGCTTCCTCAGGAAAGGAGCACAGGGGACAAAGTTGCAAAAGGACAAGTGAACAGCTCAATTCCCAGTTAGTAATCCTGCTACCCTCCTACTCTTCACAGGGCTGGACCGCCGGTGTGACCATGGGCCTGGGGCTTGCACACACACCAGACTGGGAATATTCCTCCTGCTTCAGTTAAAGACCTGGCCTTTGGTCAGAATTTTCACCCAGCTAGAGCAGCCTGCCCAGGTGGACAGGGGCAGCCCCCGGTCAAGGCCAATGCAGTAAGTCAAAGGCAGAGAAATGCAACTTTCCAGGCAGGCAGGGCCTGGGTCTTGCCCAGCTTGGCATCCCCTTCACCCCTGGACACTCTGGGCATTGGCTGGGGGTGGGCAAGGGTGAGCAGGGAGAGCTAGAGAGATGGTCCTCACTAGGCCAGGGCTGCAGCTGGTCTGGGCTACCCCTCCATCCTTCCAGAGCTAGAGGAGCAAGAAAGGGAACAGTGCAGGAGGGGTTTTCTCCCTGCCTGGACATGACTGCCTCGCTTCAGTTTCACCACCCTATGAGGCTGCAGCCAGCAGGGCCAGGCGCTACCCGTACACCTGCCGACCGCTCCCACGGCCGCCCCAACCACAGCTCTCCTCACACGCGCGACCCCCCACCCACAATCCACTTCCCACGTGCCTCCTCCACCCACAGCCGCCCCCACCCACTGCCGCGTGCGCAGCGCTCCCCAGGAGCTCGGCCCGCACTCACGTCGTCCATGAGCAAGAGCAGGATGTTGGGGGGCTGTGGGACGCCCAAGGCCCCCAGCCCCGCTGCACTCAGCACCAGCAGTAGCCGCCACCTCATCACCGCAGCAACCGCCTCCATGGCAACCATGTCGGGCGCCTCCGAGTCCTGGCCAGAGGCGGGAACAGGGCTGGCGGTCTTTCCTGCCGGGCGGCGAGCCGGACCAGACTGACTGAGCAACTCAGGCGGGGCCAGACCAACTGGGTGACTGGAGGGACAGGGCCTCGGGGACCACGTGACCGGCGAAGGTCACGTGACGCAGCCGGCTTCCCAAGATGGCGGTGTGCGTGGCGGTGATCGCCAAGGAGGTGCGTATGCGGCCCCTGCCCTGCTCTCGCCCTCGCCCTCGCCCTCGCCCTCGCCATCCGCCTTCCTGCTTCCCTGCCCCCAGGGTCCCGGAGAGGTGGGCCAGCAGGCTTCGCGGAGCGGAGGGCGCCAGGGCGGTTCCGGGGAGGTGCTGTCCTCACTCACCTCTGCAGCTGCGGGAGCGTCATCCTCTTGCGCCCAGACTGAGACCTCTACCGCCCGCGCCCCCGCCCTACCCGTCTTGCTCCGAGTCAGCCTCCCATTTCTCCACTGTGCTCCATCGCACACTCCCGTGGGCCACGCTATCGCCCACCGGGACGAGGGACACAACACGGCAGTCACAGTGCTGCGTTAAAAACAAATCAAGCCCCTGCCTAAAATCTCTCCAGTGCCTTCTCATCGTCGTAGGATAACGTCTGAATAACCTGGTCGCCTCATTCCCTTCCCGCATACCACTAACACCCGGTCCACTCCAAAAGAATTATTTGTAGCCCAGGTCAGGTTCTGTCTCACCTCCCTACCTTTGCACCTGGAAACCCTATCCCCATCTCCCAGGCCCCTTCACTGGTCACCATGGATTTCATTTCCCCTAGAAAGCTGTTTCTGAATCCTGAGACTGAGCTGAGTGGCCATCCACATGCTCTTATTACACAAAACCTCTGTGTCCTTCTGGTGCCTTGTGTGTTCAGAGGTCTCCAAGCCGTAGTCCACGCACAGGTATCGGTTGGTGGTCTGTTAGGAACCCAGCCTCACAGCAGGAGGAATGGCCTGTGAGTGAGTGAAGAAGCTTCATCTGTATTTGCAGCCACTCCCTAGCGCTAGCATCAGCACCTGAGATCATTAGGCATTAGATTCTCATAGGAGCACCAGTCCCTGGTGCCAAAAAGGTTGCGAACTGCTGTTCTGTAAGACCAGGCTTATGAGATGTTCCTGCCTTGAAGCTCCTGAGTGCCAGCTTCCCTTTTAGCACTGTGCTCCAGCAGTTATTGGCTTTTCTGTTGACTATTTCCTTCACCAGATGTTAGCCCCGTTAGTGTAGGGACAGTGTTGTGTTCACTATATCTGGGCACATAGGACAGAAGCAGTGAATTGTGACATGTTGGAACCCCGGGAAGATGCTGTTAACTCCGGGTTAGGACGGTCAGTATTGGATATGTTGAGATGAAGGGAAGTTTGAGCCACATCTTGAAAGGTCAAATGAGAGCATGCCAGTGCCTCTGCCAAGGTGAAGAGGTTATACGAGGTGGTGTATCAAGAAACAGCTAGGGTGGCTCCATAGTGTAGTGGTTAGCACGTCTGCTTTACACGCAGAAGGTCCTGGGTTCGTGCCCCTGGTGGAGCCACGGACCATACCCTGGGTGTGCCAGGCCCCCCTGGGACCATACCCTGGGTGTGCCAGGGGGTGCACACCACGAGCGTGTGGGAGGAGACACCTTACCTTCAGAGATCCAGTTCTTAAGGGGAAATGGCAACATCCATAGGTCAGGGGCGAAAGTGGGGAGGGGGGATTAAAGAGGGGAAAAGAGTGTTCAAAAAAAAAAAAAAAAAAAAGAAACAGCTAGTATTATGGGGCTAAGAGAGCACATGCTGGGACTGGGCCCCACACAGAAGGTGAATGACCTGTCCAGGTGACAATGTTCATTGTTAGGCTGTGCTCAAATCCATTTTTCTGAGCCATGTTCTCTTTTCTACCCACCTTAGTCATGCCCCTTTGCAGACAGTATAGAAACCTCTTCAAATTAGTTTGGGTCCCCTGAAGGCAGTGCCCTTAGCAGTCAGGAGGATCAAGCAATTGGTTTTAGAGAATGAGAGCCTGTTTCCATGGCTAGTTAGCTCTGTGGCCTTGTTTTCGTAATTGGCTCTCCGAGGTGGATTCTCATTACTTCAGTTGTTGTCGTCCTTTCTTGCAGAATTACCCTCTTTACATCCGCAGTGTCCCCATGGAGAACGAGCTGAAGTTCCACTACATGGTGCACACGTCCCTGGATGTGGTGGATGAGAAGATCTCTGCCATGGGGAAGGCCCTGGTGGACCAGAGGGAGCTCTACCTGGGCCTGTTGTATCCCACAGAGGATTACAAGGTGTATCCTTTACATCCAGTGGATACCTGTCAGAGGGCCTCTCCCCGCGGGGTTTGCATCCGCGGATTCCGCCTGCAGTTGTGTGGTGTACTGTAGCATCAGCTAACCTTGAAAGGCATCTTGTACTGTCAATGTAAGAAATATCCAAAGCTGTAGAGAATTTTTATAAGAGTTTATTTGAGCCAAACCGATGACATATACTGGGGAGCAAGATCTCAAATGCTCCAGGGAATACAGTTTTGCAGCTTTTTTAAATGCATTTGAAATTAAGGAGGGAATGTAAGGGAGATTACATGGAGGTGGGGGAAAGCAGAGCGGGGATTGGATTACAGGATAGTTAATAAGATTATATGCTCTCTTGAGGGTGGTTATTTCAAAGGTGTGTTAATCTAGATGCATAGAAATAATTGATAGGGCTTGCTTAAGACAAAAATAAACCTTTTACTGAAAAGTTTTATGCCTGGGATGTGAGGGTTTTCAGCTGTTGTGGGGATTAGGGGAGCTTGAAACTAATTAAGACCTCATGCCCTTTTTTTTCTTTAGGAGGATGTTTGGTTTGTAGAAGAACTGCTTCATGCCTGCAAGGATTCCTTTCTCAGCAGGGCCACCACCTCTGAGCAAGGATGATTAGTTTATTAATTTCATTATCAGGCCCAGCCTCAAGTCACTCTGAAATCTTAACTACTCCCTTGGAACAAATGGCTTGAAACCCTTGGAGTTCAAAGACATTCTCGCAAGCAGTAATGTAGCTTGCCCACAGTGATGCTTGCCCGGGAGCCACTGTTCTGTGAGGTGAAATGGCCTTTAGAAGTGTGGACACCACAGGCAAGACTGGCCATGATTGTGAAACCTCTGGTTTTGCAGTTAATACTCAGGCTCGGCATTGATTCATAAGGAGGCTGGGGCCGCAGGGCCTGGGAAGGGCAGCCCCAGAGTTTGAATCAGGATGGGGCTTAGCTGTCTGCTCTTTGCTGCTCCAGTAAACACCAGGAACTGCCCGCAAAGAAGTGTCCAGTCATAGAGGAGCATATTCCAGATGTTCTTCCTGGTATTGTGGGACTGGCCCAGCTTGGGGCACTTCCTTTGATGAAAGGTTGTCATGTTTCTCCAAAGCATCTTTGGGGCCAAGAGACATACACAGATAGCCTTGCACTTGCACACTCTTCACAGTGAGGCTGTGTTTCATGCTGCCACAGGGTCCCCGTGTTGACAGCGTGTTCCTTAACCAGCTGTGTAGATATGGCTACGTGACCAACTCCAAAGTGAAGTTTGTCATGGTGGTGGATTCCTCCAACACAGCACTTCGAGACAATGAGATTCGCAGTGTGAGTGCAGGGAGTCTGTAAGCTGTTCCCGGGCCTCTTTGTTTTCCCTTGTTTTGAAATGCCGAGTAGCCAAAAATCTGGCAGTAGTTGTGTGTACATATGAATTAAGAATGTCGGTTCTTGTTTTAGATGTTCCGGAAGCTGCACAACTCCTACACAGATGTGATGTGCAACCCCTTCTATAACCCGGGGGACTGCATTCAGTCCAGGTGGGCCGGCTGCTCTTGGGTTTGCCACCTTCTTTTGTAGGCCCTGCCTTGCTAAAAAGCAATGATTCTGAAAGGGAGGGAAGGTCTTTTTAAGCGATGGGCACTATTTCCTTAAGGCAGCAATTCTGAAGTAGCAGAACCCTGTTTTTCCAAACAAACTCACACAGATTTCGAACATATAGAACAGAGGGGAGTTGGGGGCCCCGGTAGGGGAGCAGAGCTTGCCCATTTGGTTTCTCACGTGCACCCAGCAAGTACTGGGGCACCTCCACAGAACCCAGTGAGGGCCCAGGCATATGGGCAGACTTGGAAAACATCCTCCTGTCACTGCTTGATTCTGTCTTTGATACTGAACTTGGACGGTGAGGAAATTGGATTGCAGATATCTTCAGATAGCCTTAAAATAAGGTCTTAAGGTTGAAAGATCACAGAGATGCTTCATAAAAGAGCATTGACGTGCATACACCCCAAACCTGCTCCTGGGAATTCTCTACATTTGTAGACACGCTTCCCAAAGGGCTCCTTGAAGCTAGCAGGTGAGACCATACTGCAGTGACCGGAGCCAGGCCCTTCCTGTGGCATCTCTCAGCTGTGACACTGTGTTTTAGGTCATCCTGTGTCCCAGAGGGGAGAATCATGCCATTATGCAGAATCCTGTGTCTCCCAGGCTGCTCAGGGCAGGGACAGCCATTGTTCTCGTTGCCCCGCAGCCCTGCAATGCCCACACTGCAGCTCTTCTGCTCCTGCCTGGAGACCTAGTCGGGGCAGAGCTGAGTCTAATAGGCTGGACCTCGGAAACTGTGAAGGGAACTAGGAAGCAGGAGACTTGGATTCTCATTACCAGGTGTGGCAGGATGCACATCCTGGCCTGTCAGCCAAGTTTACTCATCTGGATGTTGGAGACTGACGCCCAGAGCGTCCTAGGAGACAGGCAGTGCCGCAGAGCTTGTCTCTGTGTGGGCAAGGGGTGGAGGGCCAGGTCTCTTCTCTGAATTGGTCTGTTTTTGTTTGCAGGGCCTTTGATAGCATGGTGACATCTATGATGATACAAGTCTGTTGAACAAGAACACTGCTGCCTATTGATTGAAGATTTTTGTATATAACTGTATTGTGTATATGTGTATTTATTATCATTTGCCTCGTCCCGAGTGTCAGAGAATGCTGTATGGGGGCAAGGCCTGGTGTGGTGCATATCAACTAAAGGTCTTGTGACATCAGATTTGGTGTTTTCCTTCTGTGTCAGCGGAGGGCTTAACTAAAGGATTTTTTTATGCAAGACCTTTTCAGAGGTGGGGCCAGAGGTCAGGGACCAGACAGAGCGGGAAGCCATTGTCCCCACTAGGCACAAAGGGGCAGGAGCTCTGGAGAGGCTGGGGCCACGGAGCCGGGCTCTGCTCCACCAGCTGTTCTCGTGGCGCCCTCCAGTGGCCGACCAGGTGGGGGGGTGTGCAGGGCATCCTATGCCCAGAGCCAGATCACGGGGAGAACACAAGGAACAGCCCACACACCTTCCTCCACAGGGAGAAGTCCTCCTGGTCTGGCGTCTGGCCTGGCATCTGGATTCAGCTAAGCCTTGGCAGGCAGCCCTCACAAGATCTAGGACAGCTCATGTAACTGCAGTGTCTTATCTGTGGCGGCTTGTTTTCCGAGCATGAATGAGCCTTCTTCCTGTTAGCGCATGGGGTTCCTAATGGCCTGAGGGTTACATTTGAGGAGGAGCTCCTCATAATTGGATGTCTGTATTGTGTTTCCCCAAAAGTCCGCTCAGCCACGTATAAAGGACAGTCCCAATAGTTGACCATGACTGAGGTGACAGAACCTTTTGGGGTCAGGGAGCCCAAGTTCTAGCCCCCTTTGTCATTTGGTAAGTTGGCCCATGAAGTGGGAGAGGTGACAAAGACCTGCTGGGTCTGAGCCCCTGCCCATCCACCCTCTCCTACACACAGTCTGCTCCACATTGTATTCAGTGAGGCTGGTGGCTGGCTTCCTTGAGTCAGTGTCCCAAGACAGCTGTGAGTCCCTCCCTCCCCCATCAATCAATCCCTGGAGAGGGAGTCTCTGACCAGGAGGAAGGAGGCTCAGATTCCTCTGGGGAATGGGGAAGGCTGTAGTATCGGTCAGCCTGCGGCTAGAACTGGGAGATGAACTCTTCTCTGTACCCCTTTGAATTTCCTTCCTTTTTAAAGAGTATAGGATTAATTTTTTAAATTGCAGAAGTAAAAAGATCAGCTGGAAGTATGTTAAAAATACAAGTCCCAGCCCCCTTCTGCTTTCACCACCGCAGGTGGAATTAGAAGATCTAAAGTGGGTCTGAGAAGTACCAACGAGCAGGTTTGCTTGTGATGCTAGTGGACCGTAGGCCCCCGTCACACAAGGTTTCTTCCCTGGAGTCGTGGTTGAGGTTTCAGTAGTAATGTCTCCTGCCTGAGTAGTGGCTCTGGTATGGACTGCAAGTTGCTGACCCAGTATATCCATTCTCCCTGGCTTCCTTACTAACTGAACCTCAGTGTTAATTGGGTGCCACTGACTAGATAAAAGATACTTCCTAACCTCCACAGTACACAAGGATAGGTACTCATGGCATGTAAGTGGATGGTGATGGGGGGAATTTGCAGGAAAGATACTTTAAAAGGGGATTCCGCTGGCAAATAGAGTACCCTTCATCTTTTTCCTTCTTCCCACCTGGAACTTGGATGTGATGGTTGGAGCTCAGGCAGCCATTTTGAGCACATAAGAGTTATCCACTCAGAACAGGGGAGTGAAAAGCTAGCGGGAGCCTAGATCTTTGCTGACATACCAGCCCTGGGTTACTTGTGTTCAGCAATTTTTGATGTGAGAACATAAACCCCTATCTTATGGAACCCGTTGCTACTTGGATTTTTCTGTAGGTGCAGCCAGACCAACCCATAAATGCTTTCTACATTACAGAGTTTTCACACACTATTTATTTATTTATTTATTTATTTATTTGTTGTTTATTTATTTATTCTTTTTTTTTTTGAGTATTAGACCCAAGGAATTATTTGTTTGAGTATTAGATCCAAGGAAAAATTTGTCATTACTATATACCAAATTCATATTATCAAATGAATGAGGGACACACTCCATTGAATGGGGATGTGGAACTAAACTTTCTGCATACAATAGAAGTAAATATTTAAAATTTTCCCTGATCTGTTGGGGAGATAGGATTTCATGAATCTCAAAATGTGGAGCAGGGAGAGGTATCCAAAGAGGTAGCAGCCTGCCAGGAGATCAAGGGCTGGGGGAATATGGTGTGC